TAGGGAGGCCTGGGTTTCTCTTTGCTTCAAAAAGCATCGTAAGTCAGTGAGTGGCTTTATCTTTTACTTGGATCCACTTGTCCATGCTCCCAGCTCTCTCCTTTGCCTTCTTCCAGTCAGGCCTGCCTTAGTTTTAGCTTCCACCAGTTTCAAATTCCCTCCTTTTGCTATAGCCAGGAGAGTTCCATTTTCTGACTGGACCCTGACAAACTCAGGGGTGAATAGATGTGCTAAACTACAACAAAATTTTCTATCTTCCTTTTTTTCTCCAGCCACCACCTTTCAAATAATATAGAACAGGTTTGTGCTTCTTTCATATTTTTGATATTTGTGAAGGAATATTTTGGCTTTTTAAATACTTGTTAAGCATGGAGAATATCAGCTATCTGAACCTGCACCCATTATCAGTATTTTGCATAGCATTTTTGGAACTCTTGCGCTTGTGAAACAAGTATAGAGAGATATAGCCTGAGATTGCATTGGCATTTTAAGAATTGGAGCTCTTAAGTCATGATTTTAAAAATTATTTTGCCCAACTGGCATGGCTCAGTGGTTGAGCATCAACCTATGAACTTGGAGGTCATGGTTCAATTCCTGGTCAGGAAATATGCCTAGGTTGCAGACTTGATCCCCCGCGTAGGGTGTGCAGGAGTCAGCCAATCAATGATTCTCTCATCATTGATGTTTCTCTGTCTCCCTTCCTCCTTGAAATAAAAATTCATATATATATATATATATATATATTATATATACATATATATATATATATATACATGTGTGTGTATATATATATATATATATATAAAATTTTTGGAAAATGTTAATCTTAAATACAAAATTGAGTCATCTTACAGAGCAAATATTTAAATATTTTGGGTACATACTTTGTGCTAATTTCTCTAGTTGATGGGGATATATAATACACATGAGACAAAAATTATTGTCCTTGCTTCCTGCCTTTCTCATCTAAGGTAATAACCCTGAAACTACGTAAACAGAATAAGAAAATTATTATGGGTTTCCAAGATGACCAAGAAAAGAATAACGGTTGTGCCAAAAAAGGCCAAGGCCACGTGCAGCCTATTTGTTGCACCAACTGCGCCCAGTGCATGCCCAAGGACAAGGGCATTAAGTTTGTCATTCAAAACATAGTAGAGGCCACAGCCATTAGAGACATCTCCAAAGCAAGTGTCTTCAACGCCTATGTGCTCCCCAAGCTGAATGTGAAACTACATTACTGTGTGAGCTGTGCCATTCACAGCAAAGTAGTCAGGAATCACTTTCGTGAAGCTCCAAAGGGCCGAACACCTCCATTCTGATTTACACCTGCGGGTGCTGCCCCACAACCTCCACCAAAGCCCATGATGTAAGGAGCTAAGTCTTTAAGGAGTGAAGAAGAGTTCTCTGGGGGAAAAAATAAATGAAAATTGTATTTCAAAAAGAAAAAAATTGTGATCCTAACATACCCCATAGATTGATCTAATTGGGCAATTAACAGGCACCTTAAAACTTTTTAAAAAAATATATTTTATTGATTTTTTACAGAAAGGAAGGGAGAGGGATAGTTAGAAACATCGATCAGCTGCCTCTGCACACCTCCTACTGGAGATGTGCCCGCAACCAAGGTACATGCCCTTGACCAGAATCTAACCTGGGACCTTTCAGTCCACAGGCTGACGCTCTATCCACTGAGCCAAACCGGTTAGGGCAGGCACCTTAAAACTTTTTATAATGAGTTTTTGCCTGTCAATCTTTCATCTTCACAAAGGCAGAAAATTCGCCATCTCAGCCATTTTCCATATGATGGGTACATGCAGTACAAATGCTCTATTAGTGACAAATCTTAGAACATGATTCAAGAGTGTTTCCTTCCTATACTGTCCTAAAAATTAGTCAGAAAGGCCTGGTTGGATATCAAGGCATCATGTGAACCAAAGATACGGGATTATCAAAGCATCCTACTTTGTGAAACCAGGTCATAGTCCCCAACCCACACAACTGATCTAATACTGTCCTTCAGAAGCAGGGCCAGATCCTGCTGGTCCGTCTCCCCAAGCTTATTAATCAGAAGTAGCATCTTACTTCTGGTTGGATTACTTACTCCTAAAATGTGTTCACAGGAAGCTCTAATTATTACTGGTTCAGTTCATTAATCTTGCTTAAAGAGACCACATAATGCTAACAAAACAGATTTGCAGTTAGGTTTTGGTAACCAATAGTAAAATGCAACAACTTCTTAAAAGGAAATAAAAGCTGGTTGCTGTTCCTATCTAAGAGGACGACATCAAAACTTGAAAATTTTTCAGTAATCTTTGTAAATTTTCTAAATTCTGTATGTAGTTATTTAGTATTCATAATTCATTCAAGTATTTATGGAATGCTATGCATCACACTGTTCTTTGACGAAAACTACAGTGAAGGAATAGTGATGGTGTCCTTTTAGATGGGAGATCAGGAAAATGCTTCTTTGAGGTGACATTTGTGAAGAGACTGAATGGGTAGCAAGCTGTGCAAGTCTCGAAGAAAAGAACTTCCCAGCCAGGCAGGGAGAAAACACAAAAACCCTCAGGTGGGGGTACAATGCAAGTGAGAAACTAGAAGATGAGACTGTGGTGATATAATTTAGGGGATTAAACATGTAAACCACAGTAGGAGCTTTGCATTTTGTTTTGGGCATTAAATTACTGGCTTGTGAAAAGAATGTGACTAATATTTCACTCTGGTGGCTGTATGGAGAATAGATATGTGTGTGTGGTTGTGGTGCTGAGTTAAGGGTAGAAGCAAAAAGAAAGGTAAGGAGATTGTGGTAGTGGTCTGGCTCAAAGATGATTGTAGGTTGGATTGGAGTGGTAAACATGAAAGTAGTGAGAAGCTACAGATCCAAATACATTTTTAAGGCAGAGCTTATGGATCTTGATGGTTTAAATATAGGATGAGGGTGTTAGAGGGAAAAGAAATAGTAAAGGGTAACTCCTTCATTTGTGTCTTGAGCCAATTAATGAAAATGGGAATCCTAGAGAATAAAATCTGAAGCACAAATCAAGAGCTCTTTTTTTTAGAGAATTCGCAATGCTAGATCAAGTATCTGACTGCTGTTGAGAGCTCTGAGATCAAGACTAGATAACCTGAATAAAGTTGACCTTAAAGTAGGGTTCTTAAAGTCAAGAGCCTGGATGAGATTGCCCAGGCAGGCTGCATTTTAGGGCACTCCCGAAGTTCAGAAATCAAGAGGACAAATGTGAAGAGCAAATTAGAACAGGATCTAAAGAATCCCAACTTTTAAGCCAAAATTTTTATTAAAATACTGCAATTAAGAAATTATATTGCAACTGATACATGACAATTACTATTAAAAGTCTAGCAGTGATCTGATATTTTTTTAAATGCAAATTATGCATTCTAAGACTTTCAAAACAGACTATTCTGAAATAACCGCACAATATAATCAAAACATATTTATTACTTTTTAGTGTAATTTTGTACACTTCAGTACAAATACAAGATAGAGCCGTATTTACAGGTATTGAAATCCGTATATTCAAACCCCATATCTAAATACAGTAGTGTTAAGTCCTGATTTAAGTCCAAATCAGAACTTCAATATTTCTGATTTGCAGAGTGACTTACTTCATGCCCTGCCCCTTTCCCCCGGGAAATAATCCCTTAAAGCTAAGGCTGTTTAAACAGAACAATAGATTATTTTTGAAATGGGGTAACAATTCATTCTTTGCAAAGTTTTAAGCACCTCCTTTCCAATATATTACAAGTGTGAAATAGATATATAAAATTAGAAGATAAAATCATTCATTTGGGCTATTAAAAGCATGATGTCTTTAAAAAAGGGCTGAAGCATGGGAATTTTCAGGGTGTTAAAAATCTGGAAATACAGTCCAAGTTGTAAAATGAAAAGTTGATCTACATAGAAAAAAAATAGTAGGGAAACTGGTACTTCAGGGTAAAGACTTTCTAACAGACCCACCTTCACAAAATACATTTTATTACAACATAGTTTGAATATGTCCCTTTTAAAACAAAAATTAAAACCCTGAGGTTTCCTAGGGGCTATTCATATTTCCATTCCCAAATTATTTGAATCAAGGAGCCCACCAAAATGTGTATTCTCTGATATTATGTCTATTTTTAGAAACAGTCCCTGGTTACCTCAAGAAGGTTAGTAGCTGGACACCATGTCTGTATTAAAGTGCAATATTTAAAATAATTTTTTATAGAATAAGTGATTCAAATATTGTAAAAATAGACTACAAAAATTTTAATTTTCTGTGTTTAAAAATTCACCAGGAAATTTCAAACCAGGCATCCTTTATATGAGTTACCATCTGATCAGGAAACCTTTGCCTACCACATAGCAAACTGCTTACTTCTTTCCTGGAAATATACAGGACTGCATTAGTAAGGGTACTAGCTTAACATAGTTCTCTTCCGAGTTTCATTTACATGCACTAATCAAGTCCAGCAAATGATAACAATCTCATAGGTATAAACATTTCATGATGATAAAACTTATGACATTTGGTTCTTCTTACATTTTATGCTCAAGTTACAAAAAAAAAAAAAATCAGTCTCCAGTATAAGATTCTAATTCCTCTTAATAATACTGGAACATTTTTGTATTTTAGAAAATATCATCCATACTATCTCTTACAGTTTATTTTTTAAATATTATTGGAAAGGCTGAGCATTATCTTCTATACCTTAAATTATGCTTAAAGCAACAAGAGCAATTTCAAAATTTTAGTATCCCAGAATGTAATAACATTAATGTCTCACATCACAAAATAAGCCCTTGGTGCTGGCAGTTCTCTGAAAGCACATGAATACATCTGCCTCGACAGGAAAAAAAGGCTCTAAAATTGGATAAGATTTTGAAATTAAGATTTTTTTCTGCATAAAGAAACCCTTGTGACTTGATATAATACTGGCAGTGTCATGCTAAGGCCAGCTGACCAATATTTTAGCAGAGGAAAAAAAAAAAGCCAAGGTAATTTTATAGTAGCAATAGTTTCTTTTTTTATTTTAATATACTTTAGGAAAACAATATACAAAGCTGAGCTTCTCCACCATTTCCAGCTAACAGTAGGAAGCTCCAATTACACAAATTTAGCGTTTTGTGATGGCTAAGAACAGCAGTCAGCACCAGACTTGAACAGTTAGCTACAACACAAACATCCTTCAAAATGAAATGTCATAATAGCAAGACAGGTAAACCAGGATTTAACAAATGACAACCACTTGGGAAGCGACTTAATCATTCTTGTTGAATTTCATAGTTCATTAAATATCTTATACACATTTCCTGTTAATCTGCTTTAAACGAAACCTCCTTTAAGGACTTATTTCAATTAAGTATAAATATTCAACAAGAATAGTTCTGATAAAGAATCCCCAGGTAGTTCAAATTCTAATATGCATTTGACAAAAGGAAAAGAAAAATAACATTTTATTTGTTTTAACATGTTTATTACAACAGGTACAATTCACATCCGACTAGCTTTGTTTCCTCTTTCCCCTCCCACAACCATGTTCATTGGGCCATTTCCTTACATTTGAGCAATCAATGTACTTTCAGCACACACTCACGTCCAGCAGTACTTTTAGGTCCATTCCATTCTTACAGGGTGCAAATGGATTTCAATAATTTATACAAACAAGTGGGTTATGCTCAATCACTGCAATTTTAAGCTACTGTACACAGGAATGAAAAGATTATAGAAAAGTGCCATAGCAGCAGTGCCTTAAGAAAGGAGAAAAAAGAGGAGCCTTAAAAAATGGATAAAATCAAATCAAGTATTTCAGAGGGAAATGGAACACATCGGAAATGAAAAAAACATTTCTCTGCAAAACAAACGGAGAAGCACTGCTCTTGATCAGGTGCAAGTGTGGAAATAGTTGTTTCATGATATTTTGTACACTGCCCATATGGTTCAAAATTGTATCTCCTTAGACACAGATCGCCTGGCGCTTGCACTGAATTTCTGAAAATGCAAGATTTCTGAATGATAAATTAAACCCCCCCCCCTCCATTTTTTTTTCTTAAAAAAGCTAATTTTGCAGACAGGTTTACATGTAAAAGGCTAGGTATTTAGCCACCTCAGCATTAATTAGTTTTGGATGTCTAAGCTCTGTTACACATGGCTTCCCATGGCTTCACTCTACAAAACATATTTACAACGTGAAGGATACATCTACATTAAATCTACATTTCAAGGGTTTTACATCAATCTTGTCTCTTTCCCCTGAATCAACTCTCACAGACCCCAGTCCCCTTGTCATTTCCTTTGCCCAGCTTAACGGTCCAAAGTCTACTTAAATGCAGATCAAAAATGTTAAGATTGGGCAATAGATTTACAGTTCCTGTACTCAAAACCATGTGCAATTATTCACATCTTCAGACCATGAAGGAATTCTGATTTTTTAGCTTTTCAAGTTCCTTAATTTGTTGTCTCAAAAATAGTATCCTGAAAAAAATAAGAAGGCATTAGAACTGTGTAGTTGTCATATAAATGTTAACAGAAAAACCAAACTTCTAACAACAAAATTATCTTTTAAAAAAGGAGTAACTACTAGTTAAGACAAAATAATTAAAAACTGGTAAGCCTATGGTTAAGAAAACCATTAAATATATTTTACATAAGAATATATATTGCATAAGAATGACAAAAGAATATTTTCTAGTTGTCACAAACAATTTCTCAATAATTAATTTGAATATAAAGATTGATTTAAAACATAGTGTTTACTGTACCATCACACATACACAAAGGCAGCAGATATTGAACAAGATAAACCTATATTGAATGTTTTCTGGACTAAAATATAGTAAGTATAGTAATGATGGAATTAACTAAGTGCAACGAACTAATTGTTTGAAGAACAGTTCTCAATATAACTGTAAATTCATAAAAATGGAGCCAAGTCAAGTCCCACAGACTTGTATATTTAAAACAAAAAATAAAACCAAAACTCCACAGCTAATCAGATTTCCATAAACTTCATAAAATCTTTTGTATACTGGCTTGATATTTGACTGTGTACACTGTTTTAATACATCGCATAAGGAATAGTATAATTTCCTAAAAGCTAAATCATGTCTAGCAAGCCAAAAGGAAATTAAGCTTTATGTATGTTAGAGCTCCGTTCAGAGCAATATTAAGAGTAAAAGAAACCCAACTGATATTCAAAAACTGCCTCCACATATTTTAGAGATTGAGACATTAGATACAAACTCAATTTTTCCAAGTTTACTATAAAGCCCAACTTGGTATTTTACTAAATATGTCTGGTTTCAGGACAAGTTTAACTCTACCTTATACAGACAGGATGTGAAGCCATTTAAAGTTTGTCCTCAAGTTTGTAACAGGTGTTTAAAAAATGAGACAATAAGAGTTTAGGTGAAAACAGATATATGTCACTGAAGCAGCTGAAAATTATATTCCTACTGAAATTTCCAAGAATCTATTGATGATACAAGCATAATGTAAATAGTAGTTTGAAATTTCAACTGAAATAAATACCCTGGGCAATAGATAAGTCCCCTCAATTCAAGAGTGACCCTTTATAATTAGTTGCTGTCCCATTTCACTTTTTAAATAATGTATTACCATAATTTAGAGTTATAACACAAGAAAAAAAGTCTAATGAAGCCATGTGTTAAGAAAAATAAAATTTAGATGCCATTAGCACTCACTAGAAATAGTATTAAATTATAAAAACGTAAGTTATAGTCATATAATGGAACATGACACAATATAAAGAAACATTAAAGTTCACTTCTGAAATTTAAAGTTATATTTTCCAGTCTGACTTAAGATAGATAATTCTAAGAAACAACAACAAAAAAAGTTCAGCAAAAAACTTACCTTTGCTCTCTCAAAGTTGCTTGAATTTCACATACTCGGACTAAAGATCTTAAATTTTTTAATTCAGTACAAATTTCTGACATATGAACACTCCCCATGTTATGGGCTTCTTCTCGCAATCTTGATGCCTATAATTACAGAAAACCACATAAAATATAAATCACATATAAAAAATAAAACATTAAATTTTTGAGTAGAACTTTACACCAAGATTGCAGAATAATTATTTTCCTTTAAACTCATAGAAATTCGAGAGATTAAAAACAGCAGCAGAGTAGAACGATGCTGCATGGACATGCTCCCGGGAACAAGCTGGAATTACAACTGAAATATGGAAAGGCTTCCTGAATAATCAATGGAAAACTGATAGGACAGAACCCTGATACCCAAGGACTGAAGGTAGAGACCACATAGACACTGGTAGAAGGGGCAGAGACAAGAAAGGGCTGGCTAGGCACCCACAGACAGCACCTAAAGTCCCAGAGAGATATCTCAGCTGTGAGGCGGTGCCACTGAGAACTCTGGGATCTAATCCCGAAGCTGTGCTCCCCAGCAGAGAGCACCAAATCTGAGGAGGGTACCCACATAACATCTAGCTGTGAAAAGCAATGGGTTGCTATCTGCCAGGGAGTGGCAGCTTAAAGTTGGGGCACCCTCACAAAAATTCCCTGTGGAGCCACCCACCTTGTGCTCCTGCAGAGGGAGGATGAAGTGGACTGGAGCTGTGAGAGCAGAACCCAGGACTGGGAACTCGGGGGATAGAGCTCAGAAGGCAGACACCCCAAGTTTCCTGGGCTGAGTCATTCCCTCACACAGAGGAGGGAGGACATCTTTCCCACATTGACATCTGCCTTGCCTGGGGGGAAGACAGTTGACAAACCCTACTGGAAAACACCTTGCCCTGAGGCCACTTAAGAGATTAAAAGTAACAATTAGCCTCCAGACAGAAGCAACTGTCCCACCCAGTTGAAAAAACTCTTGCTACAACTGAGGACCACTGCCTGAGAGCAATTCAAGTTGAAATCCTTTTAGTCTGCAGGCAGAGGTTTTGAGTCTTTGCCTGATCCAATTAGTCAGAAACAGCCTTTAACACTGTCCTGCACTAAGAGATTGAGAGGTATAGAGAATCTAACCTAAAACATAGTTACAAACCCAAACAGACAACTAAAATGAGGAAACAAAGAAACGAGTCCCAAATCAAAGTATTAGTGAATTCTCCAGAAAAAGAGATAAATGAAGCAGAGATAAAAAACTTTATCTGAGAGTTCAGAGTAATGATGTTAAAAATGCTCAACAGTATGAAAAAAGATATAGTAACCAAGAAAAAAATAGAGATAAAGAATGACATAACACAAACAAAGAACACATTGGAAGGAATACACAGCAGATTAGGGGAAGCTGAGGATCGAATCAGTAATTAGAAGACAGAGTTGAAAATATCACTCAATCAGAGAACCAAAAAGAAAAAAAACAATTAAAAAACAAGAGGACAGTTTAAGGGAGCTGTGGGACAATGTGAAACATAACAATGTTAGAATAGTAAGTGTGCCAGAAGAGGCAGAAAGTGAGAAAGGAAGAGAGAAGGTGTTTGAAGAAATAATGGCAGAAAACTTCCCTAACCTGGTAAAGGAAAAAATCACACAAGTTCAGGAGGCACTGAGAACCCCAAACAAGAAGAACCCAAAAAGACTCATGCTCAGACACATCATAATTAAAATGCCAAAAATTAAAGACAAAGAGAGAATCTTAAAAGCAGCAAGAGAAAAGAAAACTGTTACCTACAAAGGAGTTTCCATAAGGCCGACACCTGATTTCTCATCAGAAACTCTATAGGCCAGAAGGGAATGGCATGAAGTACTCAAGGTAATGGAAAGCAAGGATCTCAGACCAAGATTACTATATCCAGCAAGGCTATCATTCAAAATAGGTGGTCAAATAAAGAGCTTCCCAGACAAAAAAAGGCTAAAGGGGTTCATCACCACTAAGCCAGCATTATAAGAAATGCTAAAGGGATTGCTGAAGGGATTCCTGACAAGAAACAGAAAGAGAAACCTAGCCATACAGAATTAAAATGGCTATAAATAAGTACCTCTCAATAATAACCCTAAATGTAAATGGATTAAATGCTCCAATTAAAATGTGCAGGGTAGCTGAACGGATACAAAAACATGACCCAACTATATGCTGTCTACAAGAGTCCCACCTCAAAACAAAAGACACACACAAGATGAAAGTGAAGGGATGGAAAAAATTTTTCCATGCAAATGGAAAAGAAAAAAAAAGCTGGAGTAGCAATACTCATATCTGACAAAACGGACTTTTAAAGCATCATGCTAAGTGAAATAAGCAAGTCGGAGAAAGATAAATATCATGATCTCACTCATTTGTGGAATATAATGACAAACATTAACTGATGAACAAAAATAGATCCGGGGGGGGGGGGGGGGGATATATATACTCGAATATAATAGAAAAAATTCTGTTATTTGCAGATTTTTAATATTTCCTACAACTTTTGTGGTATCCTATTATATTAGTACAGTTTTGGTAATATTATTATACTTAAAATCCTTTCATTTTTAAAATATTAATGTTTATTGCATGTAACATTATTATATTTAAAATAGTTCGGTTGGAATAAAAAAAAACTGAAATAAGTAAATCCACAAAAATGCTGGTGAATCTAAGGGGAAAATTATTTTCTTTAAAAAACACACACAAAAATGTAACAAAACAACTCTCATATAGTGGAAGATACTTAGAATAGTATAGCACTAGGATAGGATGACTCATGATTTGTCACCAATAAAAGATGCTGGGTCAGCCAAAGTTCAGGTATAATGCTGATAAAAAGGCCTCACTGTATTCCTGTATCATTATACACAACATACCTCCGTGAACTTACAGAACATTTCAGATGGGCAGTTACCTGAGAAAAGGGAGAAGCCAATGGCAATAATTTCAATGCCTTAAGTGCCCTCTTCCTAAAACAAAAATGTTTCTTAAATTCTAACAGCTTAGTCTAGTGGGAGAATCATAAGATTAAAACTACTAACAGGTTCTAAAATCATCAGAATGACTGGTTGAATGGAAAAAGCACAGTCCTTTGAGCCGCATCAATGGGGTGATTCTGGTATAATTTATCTGGTCTTAAGGGACTCAATGATAAAATGGGAAAACTCATTATATGCATTGGTTAGTGGTTTTGTTTTTGTTTTTTTAAACCTCATCTGAGGATACTTTTCCATTGATTTCTAGAGAGTGGAAGAGAGAGGGAAAGAGAGAGAGAAATATCAATGTGAGAAAAACACATTGATTGGTTGCCCAAACTAGGGCCCAGGCTGGGGAGGAACCTGCAACCAAGGTACATGCCCTTGACTGGAATTGAACCCAGGAGCCTTTGGTCCACAGGCTGACACTCTATCCACTGAGCCAAACCGGCTATAGCTGGTTAGCAATTTTAAGTGAAAAAAACAAAGCATTTGATATAGAACTAAATGCTTAGTACTTGATAATGGTAGCTACAATGATAATTATATTAAAATATTTTATGTTAAACCACCCTACAGGTAAGTACATACCAAATATTTTATAAAATAGACAACCTATTTAGAAATTAGTTGCTTTAAATATAGCTTGAATATAGAAGTCCAGATTAGGTTTTTTAAAAGAATTTAAATTATACTTTAGTTATCCAAAGGCAAAATATCTACTGTGAATCATGTAACATACCTGCTTCTCTGCATGATCTGCAGGCCATCCTTGAACATGTTTTATGAGATTTTCATTGAAATGTGCTGCTAGCGTAGGTGTTAATGAACATGTAGTTCGGGTAGATGAATTCTGTGGTACAACTGCTGCATTTGATGCATTACTGCCAGAAGTATGATTTGGACCAGGTGATGGACTTCTCTGGCTACTGGAAGAGAAAACACAATTGAATGTGTAGTATATCTACAAGCAGTTACTAGGTATCCTAGATATTGTCTGTTGATACCTTCTATTCAAGATATCCAAATACCTAAGAAAAATTTATTTTAACACTAGAGGCCCGGTGCACAAAATTTGTGCATGGGTAGAGTCCCTGGGCCTGGCTGGCGATCAGGGCTGATCAAGGCCTTCTGGCTGCCGGCTGGGGCCTCCCTTCCCCAGCTGCTGGCCGGAGCCTCTCTTCTTTCCACACCGCCCCTTGGTGGTTAGAGCATGTCACAGCAAGCAATCAAACTCCTGAGGGGACACTTTGCATATTAGCCTTTTATATATATAGAAGATGAACACAATTTAAAAATTCAAAGTACATTTATATCATATATTCCTCAATATACTTTTGCAGAAAAAAGCCCCTTTAAAACTAATGTCAGTGTCAAATTTAAAATGACAGTATTCTCCAAATTTGACAGCAGAACCGGATGACTTTGTATACTATAAACACTAATAAGAATGTCACTAAGAAATGGTGACACTTTTTTTTTTGTTTGCTTGTTTTATTAATCCTCACCCAAGGATATTTTTTCCATTGATTTTTAGAGAATGGAAAGGAGGGCTAACACTCTAACCACTGAGCTACCCGGCCATGGCTACATGGTCACATTTTAACAATTGTAGATACAATGCACATCTGAACATTATATCTTAAATACATGTAAATAAGGAGAGGAAAACATATATTGCTCTTGATTAACATCAGAAGAGTATTGAATCAGAGGGTGAAATAATGAGAAGCAAAATACAGGCATTTTATTGGCTAGCAATGAATTGAGTTTAGTGACAAAATAAGACCAAAAAAAGTAACACTCTGAGATTGGTTATCTTCTTTTAAAACTGTGTGGTTTAGGCTAGGTTTTAGGGTTATGGTGGTGAGAATAAAAAATTTAGTCACCCAAGTTGGTTATTTCCTACCTGCTTCACCAGACTTGGCTCTGAATGAATTTCAGTTATTTCCAAAAACTAAATCTCCCAAAGGATGAAGAGTTTTCATCACTGCGGATACTTAAAATAATACTGCAGCCTCTAAAGACAATTTAAAAGAAGAATTTCCCCAAAATGTTCTGAGCAATAGCAACATTGCTGGAGTAAGTAGACAGCTTCCCAAGGTGATTATTTTGAAGGGGATAACTCTCATTGGGATGTGTTAACTTCTTAAATGCTTGTTTAGAAAACAACAATAAAAACAACAGTTGAATTATTTTGCCACCTCATAGCAAGAAATAAAAAAAGGAAAATCAAATGAAAATCATTTAAATTTGTTTTTGTTCATTTAACAAAGGAAAGTGACAACACGCTACAGCTCTATATGACAAGTAATCCTTATAAGAGCAGTTGAAGCTAAGAGGAAAGCTTGACTAACACACACCATTGGCAACACTGGCCCAAGTTTTAGATGTGAGATTTTTGGATTCATCAATACACTCAAATCTAAAACTGCTATGAGGAGGTTAAAAATGATGTCTCATTTCCAACAAATAAAGTATTATATAACCATGTGCCCTCTTTGTACATGTATTAATTGTTACTCCCATTGTATTCTATTAAGTGAAATTCTAGAGAAAAGAGTCACCTTTCTCAAAATAATCCAGACTTTACTACACAACAATCTAATTGCTACAGATTGCCTTTGTAAATTTGGTAATACATAAAAAGAAGTTAGGCTATCCATGGATTCTTCCAAGATCAAATTCTATCATATATACATATTTATAATATTTGAACAATGCAGAATGCCATATTAAGGAAAACATAATGTTGTCTCAACACATAACATCAACTTACTTTGAGCGCTGAAGACTTCGAGGGGAAACAGGTTCATGACCTTGTGGTTTGTCAGCAGTTACAGGCTGCTGCTGTGTGGCTGATTGTGAAACTGGTCCTTGCTTAACGACAGGAGTAGTAACCTGAAATGTCAGAATCTGGTGAGAGAGACTTCTATCACAATGGCAAATAGCATGGAAATGAAATCAAAGCAAAAGTTCTATCAATAAAACTTCCCAGTTACATTCATTCTTCAGTGATTTTTAAGATAACAAGAGTTGTCCTATATAATAAAGAGATAATATGCAAATTGACTGTCACACACTCATACAAGATGGCCACCCCCATGTGGTCACAAGATGGATGGCAGGGGAGGGCAGTTGGGGGCGAGATCAGGCGGGCAGGGGAGTGGTTAGGGGGTGATCAGGCTGGCAGGCAGGTGAGCAGTTGGGAGCCAGCAGTCCCAGATTGTGAGAGGGATGTTCGACTGCCAGTTTAAACATCCGCTGGCAGTTGGACGTCCCCCGAGGGGTCCCAGATTGGAGAGGGTGCAGGCTGGGCTGAGGGACACCCCCCCCCCCACCCCAGTGCACGAATTACATGCACTGGGCCTCTAGTATATATAGATAATAGTCCTCCTGCCTATCCTCAGGGGATATGATCCAAGACCAGCCCAATGGAGGCCCGAAAACCACAGATAGTACCAAATTCTATATACAGCAGGTCCTCACATAATGTCACTGTGTTCATTGTCATTTCATTATAAAGTTGACAGAAATTTAACTCTTGTTTTATATCAATTAGCCTATGGTAAAAGTGGTTTCATAAAATGTTGCTTTGCTTAAAGTTACAGAACCAACTGACTGTGTTAAGCAAGGAGTTAGTACTGTTTATACTGCTTTTTCCTATATGTGCATATCTATGATAAAGTTTAATTTATAAATTAGGCATGTTGAGATAAACAACAATAACTAATAGAATAATTATAATAATATACTGTAATAAAAGTTATGTGAATGTACTCTCTCTCTGATAATTGAGATGGCTACTAAGTGACTAAATGGCCAGGTAATTTATACAGCATGGATATACTGGACAAAGGGATGATTTAAGTTCAGGGTGGGATGAAGTGGGATAAAGAAAGATCTCCTTAGGGAACTCAGAATGGGATGCAATTTAACTTATGAAATGTTTATTCCTGGAATTTTCCATCTAATATTTTTGTTTTTATTTTTTATTTATTTTAGAGAGAGAAGAAAGGAGTGGTGAGAGAAAAGAACAGAAAAAGGGAAGGAGGGAGAGGAGAAGGGAGGGAAACATTGATTTGTTGTTCTACTTATTTATACACTCATTGGTTGGTTCTTGTATGTGCCCTGACCAGGGATCAAACCTACAACCTTGGCATGTCAGGATGACACTCTAACCAACTGAATTACCAAGGCTCCATTTAATATTTTGAACAGCATCTGACTATGGATAATGGAGGAGAGACTTAACTACTTAGTTGTGTAAAGTGCTGTCATTTAGGCCCCCAAATTCACATAACCCTCCAAATCTAGGTAATAATCTTAAACACCACAAAATCTAGAGGTTAAAAAAACATAGAATGAGTTTCCAAAGGGCATACAGTTAGAAGAGAGTCAAGGTTTGAGACCTGAATCTAATTTCTTTATACAATAAAATGGTCATAAAATTACTTTCGTAGTATACCAGCATAAGAAATGAGTTCTCCTGATTTTGAGCCCAGTTTTCTTTTCAAGACACTGTGGTTCTCAACCTGTTGGTTCGCGACCCCTGAAAATACATCCTGCGTATCAGATATTTACATTACGATTCATAACAGTAGCAAAATTACAGTTATGAAGTAGCAACAAAAATAATTTTATGGTTGAGGGTCACCACAACATGAGGAACTGTATTAAAGGGTCGCGGCATTAGGAAGGTTGAGAACCACTGCATACCTCTTCTGATTTATAGTCATGTGCCTTGCATAACCTTTTGGTCAAGGAAGGTGCATATACTACAGAAGTCCCATAAGATAGTAATAGATCTGAAAAATTCCTAATGCCTAAGTGACATCTTAGCTCCTCAGTGGCCATCTTAACATCATAGCGTAACACATTATGTAAATATTTATGAAGAGTAGAACTGCCTAGAGCAGTGGTTCTCAACCTGTGGGTCCCGAAGGGGTCGAACAACCCTATCACAGGGGTCGCCTAAGACACATATATAATTACATATTGTTTTTGTGATTAATCACTATGCTTTAATTATGTTCAATTTGTAACAATGAAATTGGGGGTCACCACAACATGAGGAACTATATTAAAGGGTCGCGGCAATAGATAGGTTGAGAACCACTGGCCTAGAGTATTAAGTACAGTAATATGTTGTACAGGTTTTGCAGCCTAAGAATTGTAGAGGATCAGAATTTGTCGCCTTAAAATATGTCTAGCTGGAATTAGGCTTACTTTAGGCTAATTAATTTTAACAAACAGAAGACATGAGAGAAGCTCTGAAAACCAAGTAGAAGTTACCCTTTGTAAAAGGCATTTATATTTGCAAGGATGTTTGCTTCAGTGTACCAAGAAGAGTGACATGGTACGGAGCCCCAACCCACCTGATGGGCCCTGCTCTGTGAGTGACAGGGGGCAGTGCCCCAACCCCGATTGGCCCTGCTCTGTGCTTGACAGGGGGTGGCGCTGCAACCTCCCCATCAACCCTGCCTTGAGTGTGACAGGGGACGGTGCCCCAACCCCCCAATCGGCCCTACCCTGAGCGTGACTGAGGGTGACATCGCAACCTCCCAATCCGCCCTGCTCTGTGCATGACAGGGGGTGGCGCCCCAACTCCCCAATCGGCCCTGCTCTGAGCCCGACCAGGGGCTGCACCTAGGGATTGGGCCTGCCCTCTGCCACCAGGGAGCAGGCCTAAGCCAGCAGGTCGTTGTCTCCTGAGGAGTCCCAGACTGCGAGAGGGCACAGGCCGGGCTGAGGAACCCCCCTCCCCCTCCCGAGTGCACAAATTTTTGTGCACCCGGCCTCTAGTTATCTAATAAAAGAGAAACATGCAAATTGACCATAACTTCGCTACACCCCAAGCCACGCCCACCAGCCAGAGTGACTATATGCAAATTAACCCAACCAATATGGCGGCCGGCAGCCACGGAGCTGGAGCAAGCAGGAGGCTTGGTTGCCCCGGCGATGGAGGAAGCCAAGCTTCCCACCTGCCCTGGCTGTGGCCTCCTCTAAAGGCAACAAAGTTTCAATTATAGAAGATAAATAAATCCCAGATACCTGCTTCCAGCCAGCCTCCACTGGGATGTTGGGTGGCTGGGGGCCATGGCCAGCCTGCAAACAGCCATCAGCCCCTCACCCAGGCTGGCCACACCCTCATGGGGTGAGGGTCCCTGCTGGGGGTCTTGGCCAGCCTTCAAACAGCCATCAGCCCCTCACCCAGGCTGGCCCAGCACCCCAGCGGGACCCCCACCCTGATCTGGGACACCCTTCAGGGCAAACTAGCCAGCCCCCACCCATGCACCAGGCATATAATAAATGGGTAATATGCAAATTGACCCTAACAGCAGAATGACTGGGAATGACTGGTCACTATGACATACACTGACCACCAGGGGGCAGATGCTCAATGCAGGAGCTGCCCCAAGGTGGTCAGTGCACTCCCACAGGGGGAGCTCTGCTCAGCCACAAGCCAAGCTGATGGCTGCCAGTACAGTAGTGATGGTGGGAGCCTCTCCCGCCTCCTCAGCAGCACTAAGGTATCCGACTGCAGCTTAGGCCTGGTCCCCACTGGCAAGTGGACATCCCCTGAGGGGTCCCAGACTGCGAGAGGGCATAGGCCAGGCTGAGGAACCCCCCCCCGCCCCCGAGTGCACAAATTTTTGTGCACCGGGCCTCTAGTATAGGATATATTTTCATAAGATCTATGAAACACTGAATGTCCACTTATTTTTAAAAACAACTTGAAAAAATTTTTGCATGTAAAAAATTGATATAAGGGATTTGAAATGCTAATTTTGACAATTGACTGTTTTAGGTATCATTAATTGTACTCTTAGATACCATCCTGGGATAAGTTTTAAGCATTAAGGAAAGACCTAAAATCTGGCCTGCTATCAATTTCTTGAAATTGATATGTTTCAATGCACTTTTATGTTTAGGCTTTGCTTATGATTTTATTTGAACAAAGAATTCTTTGGCATGAAATTTATAATAGCCCATTGTTTTTACAACAACTAAAAATAATTTTCTCCTATATTAAAAGTAAAAAGGTCACATCTTATATATATATATATATATATATATAGACTTCCAGCTCTCTCAGTGTTTTCCTGGTGGTATGCTACAAAGCAAAGCATTAAGGTGACTAGGATTTGCTTATGAATTTGTGGGCAGGATGATATCGTACAATATTTGACTGCAGCATTGTAGAGTCCTGTTCATAGTCCAATAAGAACAGACCAGCAATTTTTAACTGCTCTAAAGAGCCACCCATGTACGATTTTGCCTGAACCAACACAGGCAGTATAGCTTAGTAAAATGTCTTCAGTATTCAGAGAAGACCTAGGTGTCAAATTAGGACTGTACAACAAAAACTAAATTTAACCAAAGGCTTAAATTTTCTTATCTTTTAATCGCGGCAAATATTCGATTCTCATGATGTGAGAGTTAAGTATAATATGTACAAAGCTCTTAGCACAGAAACTGACTCATGTCTGGAATAAAAGTATGGGGGAAAAGGCATGGAAAACATGTTTTCTCATATCTTTTAGAGTTTGAAAATTCTACAAATATTAAGTCAATTCTTAGTATACCCTTCTTTATCCTGCTCTCCATGTCACAAATCCTAAAACCAATGAAGAGAAGTATCAGTGCATAAAAGTAGCACAGATGCAATTTCCTTCTCCATCCTTTAACTGAGATTCTAACCTGCATCTATTTATACTTACCTGTCATTCACTCCACTTCATTCTCCCAGTGCTTTTTCTATAATATAGATTCTAAAACATTATTAAACTTGTTTTTCCAAAAGTTTCTTTTCTAAATTTCCCTCAAAGGCGACATACCTTTGGTTGCGATGAAACAGGAGGAGTACTAATCAAAGGTTTGATAGGGACTGTGTTAGTTTGAGGTGTGCTTATTCTTGGAGACACATAGGATCTTGGGGATGATGCATCAGACGTTAAGGACATTGGAGACTGATTAGATGGCTGGGCTGCAAAAGAATGAAGCAGTTAAGTTCAAATAAATAACATGTTTGGAGGAGAACTTTGCACCTCTCTACCAGCCCCCCCCCACCTCGCCCAAACCCCCCAGAAAACACTCACCTAAAAAAGTCAGAATGTGAGATACTCACTGGGCCATATTGACTAAATGAGCTGTGTGTTACACATTAAGCACACACCCAGTGTTGCCCTCTATCTAAGGCTAGAGCAAGAAGGTAAGGCTGGACCTATTCTCACATGGAAGGCATCCTCACCATTCTTATTTCTTATTCTACATTTAGGATCTATTCTCCCCTTAGTCCCCTGCTTCACGAGGCTAACTAGAGGGTTGTCAAAGTCTTTCCACTATTATACTTCAATTTTAGACCAGTTATTCCTGCTCAATTTACTAGCTTTTTGAATTTGGGATGGGGGAGAAGTCAAAGTGACCCTTTTATTTCTCTTTTGTTCCTGTATTTATCTCTTTCCATTAAAAAACTTCATGAAGGCCCTAGCCGGTTTGGCTCAGTGGATAGAGCATCGGCCCAAGGACTGAAAGGTCCCGGGTTCAAATCCGGTCTAGGGCACGTACTTCAGTTGCAGGCTTCTCCCTGGTCAGGGCGTGTGGAGGAGGCAACCAATCAATGTGTTTTTCACATCGATGTTTCTTTCTTTCCCTCTCTCTTCCACTCTCTCTAAAAATCAATGGAAAAATATCCTTGGGTAAGGATTAAAAAAAAAAAAAAACTTCATGGGGAAGAGGGATAGCTACTTAAAGGCAGGACTTGAGCATTTCTGTATCCATAGCAGAAACCATCTAACAGGAACTTGAACTAAACTTCAACTCTTAAGATACACTCAACATTTCACAAAAATTGAGGGCATATCATAATTTACTTTCAGCTTTGGAATAAAAATATCTCATCAACAACATAAATTCAGCATGAAATATATACTATTTCATAGATTTGATAGCAATTATTGTAAGATGTCATATCTTGCTTCATCTAAAAGAAAGTAAATAAAAATACTACTCTATAGTATAGTGATGGGAAAAAAATCAAGTATAAAGTAAAACCATTTATTGTAGCAAATCAGCTCAAAGACTAAAAAAACAAACAAAACAAAAACCCGCTAATAATCCCAAGTGAAGATACAATGCTAAAGATATCTAAGACTATGAATACCTTGTGTAGAGAGCTGAGCAGCTTGAGAAATCAGAGAAGTTATATTGAAAGCTGATGGTCCAGCAGTAAGAAACTTATGAATTATAGACTGCAACGATGCTTGTGTCACAGCTGCTGTAAGAACTAAAAACATATTGTGTCATAAATTCAAATAAAACAGAGGCAAATGCAGCAATAGTAACAACTTGAAAATTAAAGAATCTAGAAAAAACTAGAATGTTTCAAATTAGAACTCTCAAAATAAAAGTCAATTATATAAGAGTAATATAATGGGTCTAGAGCAGCTGTGGGCAAACTACAGCCCACGGGCTGGATCCGGCCCGTTTGAAATGAATAAAACTAAAAAAAAAAAAAAGACCGTACCCTTTTATGTAATGATGTTTACTTTGAATTTATATTAGTTCACACAAACACTCCATCCATGCTTTTGTTCCGGCCCTCCGGTCCAGTTTAAGAACCCATTGTGGCCCTCGAGTCAAAAAGTTTGCCCACCCCTGGTCTAGAGATATGAAATGATCTGAGGCAGGGGGACAAGAAATTTAATCAGTTTATAATAAAGGAAGAGTAGTTTCCTTCACATTAAAATTCAGATATTCAGTTCAAGAAAATTCTTCTATGACACTTTTTAAAAAACAGTAAAATGAGTATTCACTGGAATCACACTACAACAGTATCCACATGGAGATAAAGTATGAGTATGTTACTTAGAATTAACTGGATAAATGTTAGCTATTTACTAAAATTGCTTTTTCATACAAACTTGACCACTAAAACCCTACATCAATACCTACTCCAACAATCTTTTAAAAGTGAATATTAAAAGGACTAGAGGCCCGGTGCACAAAATTTGTGCCTGGGTAAGGTCCCTAAGCCTGGCCGGCGATCAAGGCCGATCTGTGGGGCAACCAGTGGGGCGATCAGGGGGCCCTAAAAATCAATGGAAAAATATCCTCCAGTGAGGATTAAAAACAAAACAGCTAGGCACTTAGAAAAGCCATGTTTTCCAAAGTATAAGAGCTTTCATTATTGCCATTTTCAATGCCATAATTTCTTCAAACTGTTTAAAAGGCCCTCTTTGCCTACTAAAAATGTCACCTATCAAACAAGAGAATGGCATGGTTACCTTAGAGAATAAAATGAAAATACAGAAAAGTTGAGGGCAATAAGAACATAAATCAACAACTATCCTGAGATAGCTTCATTTCTAAGATATAGAAAAACTTTAACCATTTAACATTACTATTAAATATTTTATGTCAAAATGTACAGAAATATAAAATTCTGCAATGCTCTTAAGGACTTAATGTTTGAATCTGAATTGGTTTACAAATTAAAAGTACATATACTTTTATTCAGACTTGAGATCACTGCCTAAAAACTTTAGCATACTGAAAAGCAAAGTTGGAATTAATACAATGAACTAGGAAAAAGAGCAAAATGTTATTCATTACCTCCCTTTACAAAATTTGTTCAAGTACTGTAAGAGTTCTTACCTTTTAAGTAATTAGCATATTAAACATTCCAAGTAATTATTTACCCACTAGAGGCCCAGTGCATGAAATTCATGCACTTGGGGAGCGGGGGAGGAGAGGCTCTCAGCCTGGCCTGCACCCTCTCGCAGTCCAGGAACCCTCAGGGGATGTCCAAATGATGGTTTAGGCCCGCTCCCAGCGGGAAGCAGTCCTAAGCCAACAGTCAGACATCCTTAATGCTGCTGCACAGGCAGGAGAGGCTCCCGCCACTGCAGCTGTGCTCTCCAGCCGTGAGCCCGGCTTCTGGCTGAGCGGCTTCCCCTGTGGGAGAGCACTCATCACCAGGGGGCAGCTCCTGCATTGAGAGTCTGCCCCCTGGTGGCCAGTGTGCGTCATAGCAACCGGTTGTTCTGCTGTTCGGTCGATTTGCATATTAGCCTTTTATTATATAGAATATAGAGGAGGGGTTTTTTTTTAAATAAACTAAGTAATTAAGTATCCTATATAATAAAAGCCTGATATGCTAAGTGTCTGGTCGTCTGTTCAACCAATCAAATGTAATTGCTAATGATATGCTAAGGCGGCTCAACTGCTCGCTATGATGTACACTGACCACCAAAGGGCAGACAGTTGACCGGCTGATTGGGACTGAGCGAGATGGGCCAAACATCCCCTGGAGCCCTCCCGCGGTCCCTCCTCACCTGGCTAACCTCCCATATCCCTCCCTGGCCCTCATGGTGCACCAGTGGGGTCCCTCAGTCTGGCCTGTGCCCTCTCACAATCCGGGACCCCTCAAGGGATGACAGAGAGCTGGTTTTGGCCCCATCTCGCAGGCCAGGCTGAATGATCCACTGGTGCACAAATTCGTGCACCAGGCCTCTAGTTTTAATATAATTTTAGCATGTGCTCTTTAGTTTGTTTTTACTTAAAAAAAAAATCGCCATATACATTAAGAAGACAGAACAACTTATGTCTGGGAACTACTAGGTATATGGTAGGTAAATCTTGAAAAATACACACAGAAAATCCAATTGCTAACTCAATTACAATACCAAAAGCATTAAACTATGGCAGATAAAAATTTCAAATAACAAAGTGCAAATGTGAATTCAAAATGAAATAAAGACCATTCCTAAAATGGGAATTTTACTAATGATACAATTTTACACAATGCAAGTGCATTTTTAAAAATCATTAGCATGAAAATTTACCTTCATTTATTTTCGAGATGTCCACATTAGAATTATTAAGTTGCAGTGTAGCTTGCAAAGCAGGAAGCAACTGTCTAAGAAGATTTGGATCCTGAAGTAATGGAGGTATTGGTGACTGTGGAACAGGAGAAACAGGGATTGCTGAAGCAGATGTTGGAGGTGCAGATGTGGGATTCAGTCCAGAAGATGATGTGGAAGGAGTTGTGCAAGAATGTGATACAGATTTGTCTCCTGATGTAGATTCTAAATAAACAGGAGATAATAAGGCTGAAAGAATTACTTGAATAGAGGAAACTGGAACCGATATCAAATAACTTCCATGTGCCAGGCATCCAACCCAAGTAATGTCATTTAATCTTTACAAGTTAGCACATAGAAAAGGCTCAGTAAACATGATTGACTAGAATAATGAGGTAGGCATTTTTATGTCCTGGTTTCACTGGTGAAAAAAATGAAAGATTATATAACTTGCTTGAAGTCACAAAACCTGGTAAAGCAACGATTCAAGCATACTCATGTCTGATTCTAAAAGTACCACACTGTTTATTAGTAATGTTGTCCCAAACACTTTTGTGTATTAACTACACATTCATGGAAGCTTCTATTAGGATAAAAGGACAATACAATTCTCCAGGACTTAATGTTATATGTCTGATAAAATAATTAAAGGTGAAAATATCTATGACCAAAATAACAACCTACCTAAATATAACAATGGTCTTAATACAAATCAGGATAGGTACCATGGTGAGCAACCCCAGAATGGGCTAAGATTATGATAAAGAACAAAACTTGTGGCCCGTCTTGCCAGATATAAAAACTTACATTTAAAACAAAACCAAATTAAGGTTAATTTAAACTTCTGCATGTGTATTTAAATATTTAAAACTAGTAGAGAAAATATAGGAAGATATATCTGACAACAGGATGCAGAAATTTACAAAAAGCAAAAAGAATTACATCAAAAGTACTAGTAACCAAAATATTTTAAGGAACTACTATAGATCAAAACAACAAAGTACACAATATAAAATCAAATAAAAGACACGAAATGACATTTCACAGAAGAAACTTGAATAGCTTTATTAAAAAAAAAACTGCAAAAGATGCTGAACTTCATTGATAATCAGGAAAATGAAAATTAAAAGCAACAGGGTATCCTTTTACGTTCATCACATTGACAAAAATTTAAAAGTCCGACAAATGTTAGCAAAGAGTAACAGGAACACTTTAAATTTCTGGTGGAAACTACACTAACATAACCACATTGGAAAATAACAATTAGGCATTATCTAGATTAGAAAAACCAGAGCTGTACACACACTTTGTGACCCCCTCAATCCCTCATAGGTATATACCGTAGTTTATAAACTATGTAAACCAAGAGAAACATTCAACAATTTTTTAAAAATATATTTTTATTTATTTCAGAGAGAGAATGGGAGAGGGAAAGAGAAATAGAAACATCATTGATGATAGAGAATCATTGATCAGCTGCACACCAGGGAGCCTGCCACCCAGGCATGTATCCTGATTGGGAATCGAACTATGACCTCCTGGTTCATAGGTCAACCACTGAGCCATACCGGCTGGGAACATTCAACAATTTTTATCACAGTGTTATGTTTTATTTTATTTTTTAAAACATATTTCTATTGATTTCAGAGAGGAAGGGAGAGGAAGAGAGAGATACATGTGCCTTTGACTGGAATCAAACCTGGGACCCTTCAGTCGCAGACTGATGCTCTATCCACTGAGCCAAACCAGCTAGGTCTGTTTGTTTTTAGTATAAAACTAGAAACAAACAAATGTGCACCAACAGGAAAATGAACACAAACTGGTATTTTCATGGAATTTTACTAATACTGTGACTTTTATGGACAAAAAAGAGCATTAAAACAGAGAACTTAAGACTGGACTATTCAAGATGTTCATACACTGTCTCTTACAATATTGGTCTAAAGACTAAATATGAAAATTTATACTCTTTTTCACTGCCATCATTGGTCACACACTCTCAGGGAAGGGCCTGTCCCAGTCTATTCTGCCCTACCACCACAGCATTCCCACCTGGCTGAAATTAATGCCTGACAACATGCAGGAGCAGATCTACAAACTGAACATGAAAGGCCTGACTCCCTTAGAAATCAGTGTGATCCTGAGAAACTCACAAGACATTGAACAGGTACGTTTTGTGACAGGCAGTGAGATCTTGGAAATTCTTTAAGTCCAAAGGACTTGCTCCTGGTCTTCCTGAGGATCTCTACCATTTAATTAAGAAAGCTGTTGCTGTTGGAAAACATCTTGAGAGGAATAGAAAGGATAAGGATGCTAAATTCCATCTGATTCTGATTGAGAGCAGTAGTCACCATTTGGCTCAATATTATAAGGCCAAATGAGCCCTCCCCACAATTGGAAATATGAGTCATCCAGAACCGCTACTCTGATTGCATAAAATGTCTACGTACTCAAACAATAGTATCACTCTTTTTTTAAAAAAAATGTTATTTTTATTGATTTCAGAGAGGAAGGGAGAGACAGAAACATCAATGATAAGAGAGAATCATTAACTGGCTGCCTCTTGGACATCCCACACTGGGATCGAGCCCGCAACCTAAGCATGTGCCCTGACCGGGAATTAAATCATGACCTCCTGGTTCATAGGTCGACACTCAACCACTGAGGCATGACAGCCAGGAAATAAAATCACTCTTTATTTAGGAAATAGAAATTGCTAAAGCATCTTTAATTTCCCATACATACACGTTTTTTGAAGATTTAAGCTTATATACATATTATATTACTGATTTAAGACTGTTACTATGATATATAGATTTCAGGCACACTGTATCTGAATGTTTACACTGCTACCAATAACTAAATCTTCATTTCGAATTCTAGGAACTGAACATTTATTTCTTTTCATAGCTCCAAAAAAAATGGGATATTTTTTCTAACAAGCTTATTGGAAACTAGAGGCCCGGTGCACGAAATCATGCACTTGGGTGGGGGGGTTCCCCAGCCCTGTGATCTCCCCAAAGAGGTAGGCCCCGCCCACCCATCCGGGGCTCCTCGATGGATTGCACCAAAGAGGTAGTCTGGAGCCGGGGGTCCTGCCTCTGCTGCGTGGAGCTGTCAGGCCTGCCTCCACACTGTGGACGCAGCATCAAGTCCCTGCTCACCCACGTGTGCCTCGCTGTGCATGCAGCCCTGCCCACCCGCACACATCAGCTGTGCACGCAGCCTCCTGGTGATGGATTATCACGGCATGAGGGCGTGACGACCACATAGGCTTTTATTAGTATAGATGGACTCCTCTACCAGCCTTTTTATGAGGCTACTGTAATGGTCAAAAGAACTAGGAGCAATAGCTCTCTAAAATATAAACCTCAGGATGTATTGATCAATTATGATCAAGTTAAAAGGTATAAGACATTTTAATTTTTGAAGAGAAACATTTTAAAGGAGGGTGTATAAGTCTAGCAGATAGCCTATGACGTTAAGCTTTACTGTTTTGGCTTCAAACAGGGGTAGGCAAAAGTAGGTTTACAGTTCCGAGTACATAAACAGAGTTTATTCTTGTATGATCATTTATTACTAGAGGCCTGGTGCACGGACTTGTGCACATTGAAAGTAAATTAATTAGAAGGCGGCTGGCAGGGTGGGACTGGGTGAGACGGGCCGGACACGCCTTGGAGCCAACCTCCCACAGTCACTCCCCGGCCAGCTGCACCTGGGGTGGCGCCGGGGCTCAAAGGGCGTCTGTGGAGTGAGTGGGGTCCCTCGGCCTGGCCTACGGGGATTGGGCCAAAACCGGCTGTCCGACATCCTGTTGCTCAGCAGCTCCTGCGTTGAGCATCTGCCCCCGGTGGACAGTGCGCACCATAGCTACCAGCCGGTCACTTAGGCTTTTATATATATAAATTGTATTATTTTCCATATGAACAACCATAAACCTACTTTTGCCCATGCCTGTAGACAAGCATAAAGAAACTTGATTTTCTTTTTGAAAACCAGCTATCAGTTATTACATTTTATGGGGCAATTATAGACCATAGTAGCAGTTTTCTCCAAATGATCTTAAAGTTCAATTTAGTAAATATACAGCTTAGAGGAATCTTGATTAATGTTTGGAACAAAACAAGCTCTATATGAACTTCCTTTACTTCCTGCATGAATCAATATTCACATCCTTCTGAAATGATCTTTACTCTTCTTATTATTTCTACTGTGATTTTCTTTTGCTTTCAGTGACAGGAGTGGGAGAAGGTGTGAGTTGTTTTCAAATTTACTTTGGTGCTGCTAAATCTATCCACAGATTTGAAAAACTAACAAAGGCTTGGAAATTCTTCAGTGTTGTTCTTCAATCCAAAATAGTAGAAAATTAATACATACTACACATAAAAAAATTAAGTAACAAAAAATAAACATCCTTAATTTCTAATTCTTTTATTTACCCTGAGGATAATACCTTTTACAGTTTTATGAGAAAAGATTATTGATGCTGAAACCGGTTTGGCTCAGTGGCTAGAGCGTTGGCCTGCAGACTGAAAGGTCCCAGGTTCGATTCCGGTCAAGAGCATGTACCTGGGTTGCAGGCACATCCCCAGTAGGAGATGTTCAGGAGGCAGCTGATCGATGTTTCTCTTTCATCGATGTTTCTAACTCTCTATCCCTCTCCCTTCCTCTCTGTAAAAAAACAATAAAATATATTAAAAAAAAAAAAAGATTATTGATGAATAGTATGGAAACCAGTTATGGTTTGAGCAAATAACATGTCGAAAGGCAAGAATATCTCTATTAAAAAGTTTTAATGAATGAATAACCATTAAATGAAAACTATGGAACCAGCAACTAACTATGTGAATATCAGACAGCATCTTCTAAGACCTACTGCATAGGTCTGCTTCTGTGGCCACTCCATTTACCTTTCAAACTTATCTATGCTAATAAATCATAAGAAACTTGTTAATGAAGGTCAATAAACTCTTTGAACTCTGGCACTTATGTGACCAAAGCAAAGAACAAGGACCCTTGTTTCCTGCCTATTTTGTCATTTCACAAATCTGGAAGGGAGGGTGGAGTTAGGGCCAGTTTATAGAATGGACACGGGGGTGCAAACCGACAAAAATCAGTTTTAGATATTTCAGCACATCAGTTTGTTACTTTATTGTATGGCTGTCCAGTATTAATCTTGCCAATAGATATTCAATTGTTACCCTAACAATAAATATCTGAAAGGTGGTATCTGACCTCCCTCTTGTTTCACTCTACCCTACACAAGAATTATTCTCTACAAAATCGTAGTTTCACAGCTTTTTCACACTTGTTCCTTCAAGCAAAGGTAGATTTTGATTTATCTTTTTCTCAAGAGACACACTGGGGAATCTAAATCTGCCCTAACCGGTTTGGCTCAGTGGATAGAGCGTTGGCCTGTTGACTGAAGGGTCCCAGGTTCGATTCCTGTCAAGGGCATGTACCTTGGTTGCCGGCACATCCCCAGTAGGAGGTGTGCAGGAGGCAGCTGATCAATGTTTCTCTCTCATCGATGTTTCTAACTCTCTATCCCTCTCCCTTCCTCTCTGTAAAAAATCAATAAAGTATATATTTTTTTTAAAAAAGGAATCTAGATGCACAACACATATAACACTCTTCTTACAAATACATTTTTTAAATCATGATCAATGCCCAGGCATTTCCCCGAATCCTCAACACACTCATTACCATTCTTACAATTATTTCTCCCTCTACAACAAATATTTACTGTCTACATTTGTCAAACATTATGGATAGGTTAGTGGTTAAGAAAGATCCTGCTCTTGTATTATTTAATACAGCTTAGCTACCCTATTAGCACTTAAGATCAAGAGACCACTTTTATTTGAACCATCAACCTCTTCATATAAATTGTTAAGGAAAATCCAAACAAGGAAATCACTACATTGATAAGAAGAGTCAATAGGAAGCTTAATTTAAATAACAATGTCTCCACTGAGGGAAAAAAATATTTCAAATTAATGGGTGCTTCACAAATTTAGACCAAGTGAAAAGCAATCTAAATATACCCAATTTCTTATTTAAGGAAACAATATTGTCTTCAGTTCACATGCCAGGAGAAGTGCTTGGAAAGACTATACAATTTTCCCTATATAAATAGGCAATTCCAAGGTAATTGAGTTTCTTCCTGTAAGTTCAATAAAATTATTAAATTACAGAAATCTAAGATAATATAGACTTTATGGGTCTTTCATTATGGTTTTATGAAAACAACATGAATTTTGGAGAAGCTGCCACTAACACCTGGTGGCAATGTTCAGGCTCTTCATATCTAATAAGAGAAAATATCTCCTCCCTCAAGATGTTGTTTTAAGGAATAAATTAAAATGTATATAAAAGACCTAGCACCAAATGTGGTGGTACATTGTTAATTTTTAATTGTTAAGTTTGTCAGAAATGGTGCTTGAAGCATGGATAGTTAGTGAACAAAGTACAAATGTAGCAAAATATAACGTCTAACCCTAAAAAGGATACAGTCTAATTGAAGGAACTAAAATTATGTGATAAATGCTATAATAAACAAAAGTACAAAGTGTTTGCAAAACACAGATTGGGTGGGAGAGGTTAACTAATGCTGAGAACCAAAGGACATTAGAGCTAGCTCTTAAACAAAAGGTACTGAGTTCAACAGAATGGGAATAAAAGAAATATGTCTTTCTTTTCAGCAAAGGCTCAAAACATGAAAGAACATAACATGCCCTAAGAAATGTACAAATTTGCAACAAATGAAATATAAGAAATGTAAGAGTGGACTGTTGGAGGTCAAGCTAGTAGGACAGACTGAAACCAGATTGTAAAGTACTTATTTTAACCTTACTATTAAGTCTGAACTTTATCCTTTGGATAATGGGAAACCATTAGAACATTTAAAACAAGGAAGTGATACAATCCAAACTAAATTTTATAATGATGCCACCGTAAGTGGACAAACTGGGTAAAAACAAGCAGAGCAGTAATCAGGTTAGTTCAGGAGAGTTGACCGGAGTTTCAATAATGGCAGTTGCATAAACAAGAAGAAGAATATATGCAAATAAGATATAGGAGGAAGAATCCAAGATTTGTTGATGGATGGGTTGGAGGAGCTGGGTTAGAAATGTTGAAGAACAGGAATAGTTGGGGGGAGGTGTTGTCACTTATTGAGAACCTAAGACTAAATTGTGGGAAAAGAGAGGAATTTGGGACACACACTGTATTCTGAGATGTAACAAATAACAAGTACGTAGAGAAGGAAAGCATTATGTGAGTTAAGAATGCGTAGCAAAAGAGAGTATGTTGAGCAAACACATACACACACACTGAATCACTGAATGCTACTGTTATTTAAGAGGCAGAAGATTATAGAAAAAGGAAATTTAAGAGTAGCAGTATCCCAGAAGGCAGGGAAGAAAGGAATTTCAAAAGGGAAATAAAAGCTAAAAAGTGTTAAAATGAACAAGGGGTAGCCCTGGCTGGTGTGGCTCAGGTAGTTGGAGCTTCATCCAAAGCACTGAAGGGTTATGGGTTTGATTTCCAGTCAGGGCACATACCCAGGTTGCAGGTTTGATCCCCAGTCAGGGCAGGTCGGAGGCAACCGATCGATGTGTCTTTTTCATCGATGTTTCTCTCCCTTTCCCTTCACCTCTCTAAAATCAAAAACATGTCCTTGGGTGAAGATTAAAACAAACAAACAAACAAACAAACAAACAAACAAACTATATGGAAGGTAATATGAGATAGACTTTTTAAGAACTGAAAAACCGTAACATCCATTAGAAAGTGCATTCAGTTTTCATCTTTCAAGAATTCTCTCTGTATATTTAATTCTGCATCAGATTAAATATGACTTGTACACCTACCCTTGGCCCTCAAATTGGGCTCTAGAAGGGGAAAAGATTATGCATGGGGTAGGAGTCAGGGAGAGACCAGCTCAGATGTGGCCTAAGGTCCATGTGTGGCTGGACCTCATTTGCTAAACCCACAAGACATTTAAAAGTTTCTTGACATATATTAATACTAATCAGTTAATTCACTTCCTAATGGGTCTACCCACAATTAATTATTGCCTTTTCATTTCCTTAGTTTCTTTTCTTTTTTTTGAAGTCACCACCGAAGGATATTTTTTCCAGTGATTTTTAGAGAGATTGGAAGGGAGAGAGGGGGAGAGGGACGAAGGAAGGGAGTAAGGGAGGAGTGGGAGAGAGAGAACATCAATGTGAAAGAGACACATCAATTGGTTACCTGCCTCTCACACGATAGGGCCGGGGATAGAACTTGTAACCGAGGTACATGCTCCTGAGAGAACTGAACCAGTGACCCTTCAGTGTGAGGGCCGATGCTCTAACCACTGAACCACCAACCAAGGCCATTTTCTTAGGTTTCTTAAAACTTACTACGGAGCATAAGTTTAGCACTGTGAGTGGTCTAGGCAAATACACCCTGCTTTTGTTTTTGTGTCACCTCCCAAGTAGTTGTCACTTTTTTGAACATGGTATATGGCTTTAGCACTGAGTTGGATAAACACAGTTTAGGTTGCAAAGTTTAACTTCTACTCTTCAGACAATAAAACTCCTTATCTTGAGGCGCATGACTCAGTTTTGTAATTCAAAAACTCAAATCTATAGCTGGTATTATATACAAATGGCAAGTTTTGAAACTGTCTCTATTCATATTTAAATTTTAATAGAAAATTGGGACAATTTCTAAACTAAATCAAGACAATTATCACCAAAAAAATTTACACAAATATGAAGGGACAGTCACTTGGCTTTGTTAAGTTATTTAAACCATTACTAAGTATTATAAATTAAGTACTGGACTGTAAAGTGTAAATGAAAAAAAAAACAGTTATGAGGCTTCATAATTAAAAATTAAAAGAAAAAACGAATATGGCTAACTCTAGACCTATATATTTATGCAGTAACATTCTAAAAGACTTAAAGTTTTTAATTAAGTCTTATGTAAGCTAATGGAAATAATGTAATATAATCAGAAATTCAGAAACTATATATAGTTCAACGTGCAGCACATCTAGTAATAATGGCATACCTTTTCTTTCTGTTTTCTGTGCAGGGACAGAAGATGTGGGTGTAGGCAGTTTTGATAAAGTAGATGCTCCATTAGCATCAAATGATTTCTTTGGCTGGTGATCAGACTGTAGCATAAATTGACTAGAAGGAACAGTGCTTGGGGTAGCAGTTGGATGAACCACTGGTTTGATGGGGTGCTGTACTGGCGTAGAACTACTGTGAGTCTCTGCTCTTGGCAGTCTGTAGTCTCTGTCATTGTGTCTGCTTGTTTGAGACAAAATATTCTGTGGGAGCAAACTACTGGCATCACTGGAATGCTTGTCTTCCACTTTAGTTCACAGTTCGAAAAAAGAGATGTTGGAATGACGGTGATGGAAGGGGGAAGAAAAAAGATTATGTTAGAATCCTGTCTTGAACATCAGCTAATTTAGCAACATACTTGTACTTTTAATAAAACTGCAAGCCCAGTTAGTGTCTGCAGTTTTAGCATATAAATGTCTAAATGCTGGAAAAATTTTAGCTCAACTATAACCACTAATCTATACTCAAGATTTCAAGTGGGCTACAACTCTTTGGGTATTCTTTAGAACCACAGTTGTTCAAACAAAACATTAAAAATACTCAGGTAAAATAATTTTTAAAATGTTAATAATTAAAAAAGTAAATGGTCCAATCTTTTAAAATATAGACCTTTGGTTCTAATAATTAACTGAATTGTCCACATTATTAAACAAAAGGCATATTAGCTTTATTAGCCTGATCTTCCTGAACACTAAAGTAAGCTAATTTGTGGGCTCTAAAGTAGTTTGTGCGAGGGCTTAAATGACCTGTTTTGGGATGATCGAATTAACAATGAACATATTTTATACCAGAAGTGGTTATAAAATCAAGTTATAGATAATGCTATCTGAAAACAGAAGTCCTACATCCACAGCATAGTAAAAAAAAAAAAAAAAAAAAAAAAAAATCCATTTGCCATTATTAGTTACTTTCAAAACAAATCCTCTTCCAATTTAAAGCCACAAAATATTTCAAATTCAGAAGTACTTTTGCCTCCACAGAGAGTGCAAAAGAAGGAAAAAATCAACAATCATGGTAACAAAATTTGTATTTATCAAAAAATCTGTAGCCTACATTACAACAGTTTAATCAGTAACTAAAGAATTAAACAGTACGTTTTATTATGTTTCCAAGTAGAGAAACATTTTAAGATTTAAGCACATTCTATGTAATGATAATATCAGAGGATGCCCTCCCTGTCGAATACTGTATCCTTTTTTGCAATTCATAGTTCCTCCAAGTCTAGAGACCAAGACAGCACAAAGAAGGAAATATGCTGAAACTACAAATCAGTTTTCAACTCATCAGTGCACAGCTCCTACATGTTGAACCAAAATAGAAGGTACTGCCAAAAAACCTCAATCTATCAACTTGCATGCACATAAAACTTAAAAAGTTTTATTCTAGAGTGTCTTCCTGAAAAGAATACTACTACGATAGAAACTTTTAGGGACAGACATAACAGAAATAATACCATGCCCAATTCCCACCAATCCTGTCACTTGGTTACCTAGAACTTTCATTTCATAGACCAAGAAAAATTCCTTTTAGTTCTATATGATTACAATAGTCAAAGTAAATACATTCAGTTGGAAATTAAAGATATTTCGTCTAACATTTGTAAGCTTTGACAAAAAAAATACCCCAGCAGCAGGATTACAGGATATAAAGATATAGCTGCAACAGTTTTCTATTACAACTCTACGGAACAGTTCAAGCAGGGACTCTATTTTCACATCCCCCACAACAAGGATATTCAGCAAATGTCGGGAGACATTTTTGGTTGTCACAATTGGGGAGAAGAGAGGCATCAAGTATATAGAGGCCAGGTATGGTGCTCTATATATATCCTACAACACACACAGGACAGCATCCCACAACAAAGAATTACCTGACTCTAAATATCCTTGGTGTTAACTGTTGAGAAACCCCATATTAAAGTCTCTCTAACCATCCAGCAATCACTTTATAATGCACATATTAAAGATGACAAAAATAATCTGGTAGCAGTAATATCAAATTAAAAATTTTATCCATATAATTTTCAATGCCAAGTTTGGATAACATTATCTGCTACATTGCAAAAAACAACAAACTAAAACTGCTCTAAAACCTATTTTTCCATATAACACATACACACACATATTTCTTTTATTGGCAGTTGGAATTACAGAGCTTTAAGCCTTATCCTACATGAACACTAATGTACTGGTCAGATGTGAAAACTCTGTCAACATTTTCTAGATAAAGTTAAACACTTAAATGGCTTAGTGACTTTATTACTACAACACATCAAGTACAGCTCAGTTGACCAATTGGGGGGGGGGGGGGTCGCGGGAAGCAACAATATAGCCGAGGCCCTTTCGCAAACATTATTTAAAATTCAAAAAATGTGATACAGATTACATTTCAACACAAGTACAGACCCACTGAACCATCATTTGCACTTCTAGAAAATTAGCTAAGGAAGTAATCAGATAAGTGAACAAAGATATTTAGCATTTTTTACAATAACAGGAAGAGGCAAAACCACCTAAATATCCATGTATAAAAGATTATTTATAAATGAGAACACATCCAAAAATATAAACTGATATGGGAACATATCTTTGAAATATTATTGAAAATAAGGATTTTTTAAAGTAACACATAATTCCATTTTTGGTAGAAAAGATATATATACTTATTTATATGCAGACAGAAAAAAAGTCTATGTCCCCAAATGTATCTAGGTCATGGGATTAACACAACGGATTTGATTTTCTTAAAAATGGTTTATTAAAAAGAGAAAGAGTGTATTTTCACTTCCATCAATATTTCTATCAGATCTCGAATTACCCCCTTTAGTTATTCTACCCCAGTGGTACCCAATGTGGGGCACACGCCCCACAGGGGGGCAATTTAATTTTTAAGGAGGGTAATTCGGGAATGAATTATTAGCAGTGAATTTTTTGCATTTCTTATGGTTCTAGGGGCCTCATATTGTGACATATTTATGCATTTCGGTTCTCTATTACATGTTTTGAAGCTTTATTTGCTATTTTTCATATCACTTCATATTATTTTTCTAACAAATGTCCTTTTATTTTTCTCTTTCATGGATGCCATGTTCTTTGGAAGCTTGTTTATTAGACCAAGTTAACCCTTTGCAGTCATTTGTCTATTCTCAGCCACCAAAGCTTTTTTACTGTTCCGGCCGTATGTCTGCTCTCAGCCACCACAGCAAGGAACCGTACGAATCTTAACTCTATTCATTCATGTATCAGTTCATAATTTCTCTGAAAGCTCTTAAGTGTCTAAGCGACCTTGTCACGAACCAAAATATTGCCCCGACAAATTGGAGATATCGAAACTCAATATAAACAAACGCGGTCGTTCCACACTCGCCATGCAAAACACCATGGCGAGTCAGTCGCCTTTTGAGAGTGAAGAAATCGACAAGCTTCGGAGATACTTCGCAGAATTTCAAATAAAGCTTTACAAATTACGTTTAACTGTAATTAGGCATTCTCGCTTGTTAAGATATTTCAAAATAGTACTCCAAAATGGCAAAAAGAAAGTTACCGAAAGAAGTGTACTGCGAATCTGAAAGTAACAATGAAGAGTTTTATTTTGGCACCTTGAATACTGACTCTGACGTAGAAAGTGATAACGTTTGTAGTGATTCTAATAGTAGTGACGTAGTTCCAAAAAAGAATTAATGAATCTTGTTTATCCTTCATAATCTTGCATGTTATGTATCACTGCTCTTTCAATGGAAATTAATTCCGACCAGTATGACACCCATGTCCAAATTTAATACGACCGCAAAGGGTTAATGGCCTTTTAGGCTTCCTCCATGTGAATAGAGGAGTTCACTTTTTAAATAATAAGAATTATATATCACGGGGCAGGGGGGGATCAGGATTTTAGAGATGCTTAGGTGGGGCATGGCCGAAAAAAAGGTTGGGAACCACTGCTCTATCCCAATGGAGGAGGAATGACTTAAATGACAGGTTATTTTGGAAAGACTAAAGTAGACATGCTAGGCTCTGATCTTTTTCCTCTCTGGAGAAGCCTAGCACAGTAAGTTTTTTTTTTAAAAAAGAAGTTATTCTTTTTTACACCCATTTGCCACTCTTCCTCAATACCCACCTACACCTCCCCAACACAATTTGTTCAAGAGGCCCACAAGCTGGGTGCTATTGTTGTACTGTTGTTTTTTAAAAACCTGGAGAGGAAAGCCTTTATCTCATTTCTAATTGTTTGCCAAAAGACACAGTCATTTAAGATATTAAGTTTAATGGGACTAGAACCTAAGTCTTCCATCTCATAATATCATTCCTAATTTCCTAACTTTAGTACTTTATTTTTAAGAAACACAATTAAAAAATTTTTTAAATTGATTTTAGAGAGGGAGAGATAGAAACATCAATTGATGAGAGAGAATCATTGATTGGCTCTCTCCTGCACGCCTTCTACTGGGATAGAGCCCGCAACCCAAGCACGTGCCCTTGACCAGAATTGAACCCAGGACCTTTCAATCTGCACACTGGCACTCTACCCACTGAGAAAAACCAGCTAGGGCTAGCTTTAGTACTTTAAATCATTTTGTTTTCTAAGAACTAAGTATAATTTCACTAATATAAAAAATTAAATGTTCCAAGAAATATATCTTAAACATTTAGTCCCACAGAACTATGCTGTTTCATCTTAAATAATTATTCCCATCAAAATATTAATATCCTCTGCTGAGACTAAATAGATCTTCTTTTTTGTTTTGAATTATAGGAGGAAAATTCAAATGCTTAAGTCTGAGAATTCCTAGAACAAACCTGAAAATTCTTCTCAAAATTTCGATATTTCAAAATTTGATAAAGGGCCCAAAAACTCTTTCTGGCATTTAAATTTTATTCTAGATAAGAGAAGCCACTGGGAACATGATATGTCTAGTAACAGCTTGAAACTCAAATTCAAATTTGAGTTAAAAACAAATGTATGCTACTTATATTGTCCCACAAAGACAAAATCTGACCTCCAAAGAACATTAAGGTTATGCATGGAAATGTTATGCATATCTATGGTCATGCTGAAACCAATTCCAAAACAACTTTTTCACTGAAAAAACAACAATAGGTACTTTGATGTCACTATCTGTGTGAGGCATTGATTCAATTATTAAATCAGAGCCCAAGGAGTTCTGGAAGGGATTTTAGTGCCCAGTTTAATAGTTCACAATTCGACATGGGGGGTGGGAGTGAATGGGTAGGGGGAAGCTCCTGTTTTAAAAAGAAGTCAATCTACAAAATGAAGTTTTATTTTTTTACCAACTTAACTGCATTACAGCCATTAAGGATAGTAATGAATACATGTGTGTATTATTCCCCTGTGCATACTTTCCCTTTTCGGGAAACAAAATGGTGATCAGGGAAACAGATCCAACATAAAGATACCCTATATATTCCTGTTTATTTTAGTTTACATATGTAAATGTTTATGCACTTAGATCTATAGCATAAATGAACTACAGGAATGAAGTAAACATCATTACTATTTCAAAGAAAAAAATACTTACTTCCACTGGCAAACGCACTAGTGGCCGTTGCTTGCATCACCTCTCTTCTGTAATCCCTATCTTTTGGGAAGCTATTAACTGCCATCTTGTTTGCTTCTTTCTGTCTCTGTTCTCTAAAAATAAAAAATAAACCCATAATAATTAAATCATGTACAATGAGTCTACATATAACACTTCTGGCCAAATGTTGAACAAAATTGTATATGCAAAATAAAATAACTAAATATAGCCATATTATTATGTTATTGATGTGGCACATGGGATGCAGCAAACAAAACATTAATGTTTCCACTGGTGGCAATATTATACCAGTTATTTATATGACATTAACCCTACAACCAAAACTCTGCAATATTAATTCTACATATATGAAGGTAACATACTGTCTCACAAGAATTATAAAGATTTATACTACAAATTAAATAAAGATGAATAAATGTGAACTAATATAAAATTTTAAATTAAGTACACCAACTCTTCACAAGGCCCTGATGGACAGTTGCTTAATCTGTCCTAGTTTTTTTAAGGTAAAAGAAAATTATGGCAAACACAGACGATGGACTAATCAATCACTGCAATTAAATAGGAGAGTAAATATCACTATAAGAAACCTAAACTTATAATGTTTAATGTTCTAAAATGTTAACCGATAGAATCAAGAATGAGAAATACTGTTCAATTAGATTAAGAGCAAATACCTTTCAAGCCACTCTTTTGGTTTTTCCCACTGTGAAACTTCTGTTCGACAATTGTAGTAGTATTTTTTCCCAGAAGAGCTAATGTGCTCAGACCAGTCATCTGCAGAATCATAAGACTTAAAAAAATATTTTTAAAAATTAGAAAATGTTAATACTGTTTAATAACTTGATATGAAATATCAAGAATGTCAATGGTTTTCAAAGTATATATGAAAAGACTAATAAGATAAAGGTGCCCTGATCTAGGATGTAATTACACACACACACACACACCCACACACACACACACACACACACACATCTTAGGAGACCTTAGCCTATGAAAACCTTCAAAGATAACAATGGAAAACTTTATAAAATATGTTAAGCAAATTAATAAATATCAAATTAAACAGATTAATAAATACTAGTTTATTAGGTGCAGGAAGAAAAATATTAACTTCACAACATCTTGACTTTTGAAAAGCATTACAAAAGTACCCATTATCGTAATTTTAACTGCTGAAATCTAGTCACATTGGTGGGGGTGGGGGTAAGGGATTGGAGAATTCTCTCAACTGATCTGATGGCATGAGAGCACATCAGCTCTAAACTCACAAGGCACAATAGTTATCTTATACAGTGTAATAGAGAACAACCTGCTTATATTTACTGTTATTTATTGGGGAAAAACGCACAAGACTTAAAAATGTAAACACAAAGCTAACTAAAGGCAATGAATTTGTTTCATCTTCAAAACACATGAGATGGGTCAAGTATTTATTAAACCTTGTCTCACATAATATAATCAGCAGCATCACATTTTTCCTATAACTAAAACTGGTCTGTCTTTTGAACATTCTCAGACACTCTCTTGTAGTTATTTTAAAGGCACTGTAAAATTAGAATGGAATTCAAAAAAACCCGAAAGGCCCAGTTCTCATGGAACTGATCTCAAAAAGTGAAAGTTTAAGTGCCTGCAGCACTGGCCACAGGAAATCTGGTAGAATTCCAAGTATATTTCAGATGAATTTCTTAACTATTTTTTTTTAAAAGCTTTTGGTTTGATTTGCTTGGCAAGTGATTATATGGGATTACTGATTTGGTCTGAAGTAGAAGAATGAGATTTGAGGCAGGTGAACCAGAGTAGATGAGAGAGTGGTTTAGACCAGTGTTCTTCATCAGTGATGGTTTGAAAACTGTTGCCTGTCCTGGAGGAGATAAGGAGTTTGCAACAGAATAATGTATCCCTGGTCCAAAGTCTTGCTTTAAGGAGAAAGAAAAAAAATCAACTACAGTTTACTTAATAATGGTTAATTTAAATTCTGGCACAACTGCAGAACAGTTAAAAGTTCAAAGACCAGAACCTTGAAGAGCATGGGTCTACGACACTGCATTGATTTTGCCTATTCAAATCTTAGGTTAGTACAAGTATGTGTTCCAGGGTATAGCATTATTATTACATACTACCAACTTAAGCTTTCACCACCCCTCTTACACCCTCAAAAAAGATTAAGGTGGGAGGAGGAAAACTATAAGCAATAGAGTTTTTTATTTATTTATTTATTTTTTTAAATGTATTTTATTGATTTTTTACAGAGAGGAAGGGAGAGAGATAGAGAGTTAGAAACATCGATGAGAGAGAAACATTGATCAGCTGCCTCCTGCACATCTCCTACTGGGGATATGCCCGAAACCCAGTACATGCCCTTGACCGGAATCGAACCTGGGACCTTTCAGTCCGCAGGCCGACGCTCTATCCACTGAGCCAAACCGGTTTCGGCGCAATAGAGTTTTTTAAATGTTAATGTGCAACAAACTGCAGGTGTTCAACTTTTTAAAAATATATATGTTTTATTGATTTTTTTACAGAGAGGAAGGGAGAGAGACAGAGAGAAACATTGATGAGAGAGAAACATCGATGAGAGAGAAACATCGATGAGAGAGAAACATCAGCAGCTGCCTCCTGCACACCCCCTGCTGGGGATGTGCCTGCAACCAAGGTACATGCCCTTGACCGGAGTCGAACCTGGAACCCTTGAGTCCGCAGGCCGACGCTCTATCCACTGAGCCAAACTGGTTAGGGCTGTTCAACTTCTTTTTATTCCACTTTATTTCTTTTCAGTTCTATTGAGGTATAACTGACAAATAAAATTGTAATTTATTTAAAGTGTACATAGGGATGATTTGATATACATATACTCTGTGAAAGGGTTCTTCTGCCCATCTAGTTAACACTATACTTATCTTTTTATATGAAAACATTTAAGTTCTCTCTTAGCAATTTCAATTATACAATGCACTGTTATTAATAGTGTCACCATGTTATACATTAGATACACAGGTATTAAGTTCATCATTAAAAAATATCTAAAATTAAGAACTAAGCAAACATCCAAGGCCTGAAAACATCCAAGTTTTCTAAATTAAGCTTGATGTGGTTGCCAACATATGCCCTAAAGCAGCAGTTCTGCAAGTATTGTCCAGAAACCATTGAGGGACTCCCAGATCATTTCACAAGATCAAAACTATTTTCATAATAAAACTAAGATGATTGCTTTTTTCCTCATTCTACCGTAAGAGCACTGTGTTTTCTCAGCCTGTACAGATTTTTGCTCACAAAAGACTAAATGCAGATACGAAATTCTAGGTGTCTTCTATTAAGTCAGGCATTAAAAAGATGTTCAATGTCTGTTTTTTGTTTTAGTCATATCTTTCATAAAATATATTACAAGCCACCCTGGCTGGTGTTGCTCAGTTGGTTGGGTGTCACCCATGCATCAAAAGGTTGCTGGTTTGATTCTCAGTCAGGGCACATGCCCAGGATTATGGGCTCAATCCCCAGTAGGGGACATGCAGGAGGTAGCTGATCAATGATTCTCTCTCTTCATTGATGTTTCTCTCTCTCTCCCCCCCCCCGCCTCTCCCTCCCTCTCTCTCTCAAAATCAATAAAAAGCCCTGGCCAGTGTGACTAACTGGTTAGAAAATCAGCCACACACTGAAGAGTTTCAGGTTCGATCCCTGCCTGTGGTCAAGGCACATCTGGGAGGCAACCAATCAATATTCATTCTCATTCTCTCTCTCTCTCTCTCTCTCTCTCTCTCTCTCTCTCTCTCTCTCTCTCTCTCCTCTCTCCTCCTCCCTCCCTCCCTCTCCCTTTCCCTCCCTCCCTCCCTTCCTCCTTCCCTCCCCCTCCCCTGCCTTACCACGCTATAAAACCAATGGGGGGAAAAATCCTCAGGTGAGGATTAAAAATAAAAATGTTTAAATTATATATATTACATGTTACATATATAATGGGTTTACAATTGATTTTAAATCAATTATGTTTCAAATTTATCAGTTTTAATTTTTAACATGGTAAATACTGATAATACTGTAGAGTCCAAATAAAGAAAAACTCTCAATGTTCATGAATGTCAAGACATCTTGAGACAAAAAGTTTAAAAATGGCTACTCTAAAAGACAAGACTAGCACTGAAGAGTTACTGAGCCACTAACTGCTCTCCTTCAATTCAAAATGTCTTTTAGTACTCTTATATGACTGTTGATTTTTCTCTTCTTAAAAAAAGCATCTCCCTTTCTACTTACTTCAAGACATTCTTCTCCAAGTTAAACTATGGAAATGAAAGTCAATCCTGAAAATTACTTTATGAATTGTTAATAAAGAGTAGTTCATAAAATAACAACATCAAAGATGATACTCATCGTAACAAAGATTTTCATGGAGACCTTAGAGTTCTCTAATAAATTTCTTTTCTTTTTTAATTAAGTGGAATATCTTTAAGCAAGATTGGTTACAGAGAACAGATCTCGAAAACTTCAAACTTAAAAGCTCCAAAATATGCAAAGGATATTTAACTAATAAGAAGTTGGAAGATACTGCAGTCCTCTAAGATTGAATTTAAAATGTTTCCCAACAAATCAAAATTGGTGAAGGATACTCAGAAGGGAAGATTTCAATTATAATGTCTTTAAAATGGGAATTAAAAACTTTTCTAAATAAAGAAATCCAGAGGCTTCTTTTTATAAAAGCCACAAATATGCATAGCTTATCTAAATAGTCTACATAATACCTGTAAGTTCTATCATGATTTAGATAATGCAGGAGGCATTTGATAAAGCTTTTCCTAAATATTAACTATGGGCTAGGTAGGCTCTGTGTTAGGTATAATAAATGTTTATTACAGTACTTAGAAGGAAACTACATGTGAATCTTACTCTAATACTAAAAATATAAGGTAATTTCGACTTGACTTTCAATAGTTAACTTAATATAAGTCACTATACAACCAGATGTCTATGTAGTAATCTAAATAATATTCTTACTGATTTTCAAAGATAGAATTACAACTTGAAAACCTCAAAGATGGGAAAAAACTTTTTTTTTAAAGAAGGCTAAAATAATGTCCATCTGTTCATTTATTCTTTCATTATGAAAATATTAAATGAAAGGTGATTTTGTTTTATTCACTAGTCAAAAACTTCCATTTGAAGTGATTTTAAGTAAGTAAGTCAATTTTTAAGAAACCTTCAGAAATGTTCAAAAGCCCTCTTCTCAGGTAACATTAAATTTACAGTCTCTAACTGATACATGTGTCATAACAGCTGGGTACATTATAATGTAAAAGACCACTAATTGCAAGTTAATTATATACCAACAGTTAAAATCTACAGCAAGGAGAAACCCTGATCCTGAAAACACGTAATTTTAAATCCATCTAGTAATGGTCTTCAGTTTCCACTCCTATAATGAAATTCCCTGACATCCTTTATGATTTGGGTCTTTCAAGACTATATGACGCCCATTATTTAACCTTTCTGGTTTCACTGTTAATCCATTTCTTGAAAATCAAAATAATCAGAATTTGTTTTCCCTGAATAATGTTTTTAGGGCCTGCCTTCTCTCCTAACAGCAAATGCCCAAATCTGAATTGTCAATAATAAACAGAACTTTAGAGGTGTTACTTTGTAAATTAGTAAAGCCATTTCTCTCTCTCTCTCTCTCTCTCTCTCTCTCTCTCTCTCTCTCTCTTCTCTCTCTCTCACACACACACACACACACACACACACACACACACACACACACACACAGAGCTATTCACTCTAAAATCCTGTGTATGTCTCATTGACAATAACCCATTACAAACAATTTGATAACACCTGTGACAGTTTATCAAGCTCTTATCCCTGCCTTAATACCACCCTTCTATATTCTGTTCTGTGATGCTAGGGTCGGAATAATGCAAATTACATTCTATTTAGCCATAAATCGTGTTAGATTCTGCCATTAGAGGAAGACTAAAAGGGAGGACAAAAGAGAAGCCTAGCAGCCACAGTTCCAGTTTCCAGCTATCTGCTCCAAACCTGAATTAGCTTTATCACAACACTGAAAGAAAGGTACTATCACCAGCTCTGCAGGGAACCTCCTTCTAAGCTATTCAGTTCTGGTAATTCCAACTTTTTCCTATTGCTCCTCAGCCCAAAGGGGTAATCACTATGTGTTCAGTCAATGTCCCTTTTTGTTTAATTCAGTCCTCAATATCTGCAATATCTGCTTAATCAATCCTACATATAAAGTTATTAAATTGTGCTAAACATAATAAGCATGACTTCTGTTTTCCCAACTAGACCCTGATCAGCACAATATTTAAAACTATTCTACATTTATTTTTATGAAATTACTAGAGGCCCGGGGCACAAAAATTTGTGCACTCGAGGGGAAGGGGGGGTGGGGGGTCCCTCAGCATGGCCTGTGCCCTCTCGCAGTCTGGGATCCCTCGGGAGATAACCACATGTTGGCTTAAGCCTGCTGCCGGGTGGCAGAGGGCAGGCCCAATCCCTAGGTGCAGCCCCTGGTCAGGCTGAGAGCAGGGCTGATTGGGGAGTTGGAGCGCCACCCCTGTCATGCACAGAGCAGGGCGGATTGGGAGGTTGTGATGCCACCCTCAGTCACACTCAGAGTAGGGCTGATTGGGGGGTTGGGGCACCGCCCCCTGTCACACTCAAGGCAGGGTCGGTGGGGAGGTTGCGGCGCCACCCCGTCACGCACAGAGCAGGGCCCATCAGGAGGTTGGGGAGCTCCCCCCTGTCACTCAGAGTAGGGCCCATAGGGGAGTTGGGGCACCGCCCCCTGTCCCACACAGAGCAGGGCGGATCAGGGGGTTGGGGCGCCGCACCCTGTCACACACAGAGCAGGGCTGATCAGGGGGTTGGGGCACCGCAGCCTGTCACACTCAGGGCAGGGCCGATGGGGAGGTTATGGCTCTACCCCGTCACACACACAGCAGGGCCCGTTGGGGGGGGGGGGGGTTTGGGGCGCCACACCCTGTCACACACAGAGCAGGGCTGATCAGGGGGTTGGGGCACCGCAGCCTGTCACACACACAGCCGCAGGGCAATCAGGGGGTTGGGGAGCTCCCCCCATCAGGCACAGAGCAGGGCTGATCAGGGGGTTGGTGCGCCTTCCCCTGTCATGAACAGAGCAGGGCGGATAGGAAGGTTGTGGCCCCGCCCCCTGTCACACACAGAGCCCCAGGGCGATCAGGGGGTTTGGGCGCTGCCCCCTGTCACGCTGATCCCGGTGCTGGGAGGCATATTACCCTTTTACTATATAGAGGCCTGGTGCATGGGTGGGGGCCAGCTGGTTTGCCCTGAGGGTGTCCTGGATCAGGGTGGGGGTCCCCACTGGGGTGCATGGCCAGTCTGGGTGAGGGGCTGAGGGCTGTTTTCAGGCTGGCGGGTGACTGAAGCTCCCAACCGCTCCTTTTTTTCTTTTCTTTGTTTTTTTTTTTATTCTGGGCCAGCTTTAGTTCTGAGGCTCCAACTCTTAGGCCTCCGCTGCTGAAAGCAGGTTTCTGGCCTTTGTTTACCTTCTGTATTTGAAACAATGTTGCAATCCTGCTGGCTGAAGCCTGGCCGACTAAAACAGGTTTCTGGGGCTTTGTTTAGCTTCTATTATTTGTAACACAGTTGCTTAGAGTTGCAGCTCAGAGGCCAGCAGCAGCAGGCGGGGAACATTGGAGTCCTCGGTCACTGAAGCAAGCAAGCCTCACGTTCACTTCCAGCTGCCGGCCGCCATCTTGGCTGGCAGTTAATTTGCATATCGCCCTGATTAGCCAATGGGAAGGGTAGTGGTCATACGCTAATTACCATGTTTCTCTTTTATTAGATAGGATCATTGCTCTCAATTTTCCATGAAAATGTACTATCCGCACTGCTTCAACTAGGTAAAGACCCTTGCAGTGGTTCTCAACCTTCCTAATGCTGCGACCCTTTAATACAGTTCCTCATGTTGTGGTGACCCCCAACCATAAAATTATTTTCGTTGCTACTTCATAACTGTAATTTTGCTACTGTTATGGATCGTAATGTAAATATCTGATATGCAGGATGTATTTTTATTGTTTGCGACCCACAGGTTGAGAACCGCTGCAAGTTTACAGGGTCTTTCAATGCCAATAAAAGTCTGATGATCACCCAGATAATTAAGACAAAAATCTGTTGGACTCAAACTACATTTCTATAGCTTTCTTGTTGTTCTTTCTTTTCTATAATGTATTTTACAAATAGCTATCTGATATGTTTTAAGCTGCAAATATGATGTTACTTCACCAATTTTATCCTTCACTAGGTCTCCAGTGTCTTTATATAAAATTCACATTCCTTGCAAGATACATAACTCTTTGTAACTGACACCCACTCATCTCTGTAACCTGAACTGTTCCCAACGTACCATATTATCAAAATCCTGTAGTTCTCCAAAATGCAACACTATTTCACACTTTTCTTGTAGGTGCTGTCCCTTTGCTTATTACAAATTCCAGAACTCTTAACTGGCTAAAGTACATTCAATCTATTGGGTAGCATTACATACACTTTAATACCTCCCTCATCAATCTGGGAGTCCATGCTCATCTTGAGTGCTCCCAAAGCAACGTTAACGTGCACTGTTTTAATTGTTTATTTTTCGGTCCCCCCCCCACAGATCTGAAAGTTCCTTTCAGATGAGCCACATTTTCTTAGTTCTACATAACTACAGCCTAGCATATGCTTGGCAAATTAAAACCTTATTAAATTTTTGCTGAATAGCCCCAACAGTGTGGCTCAGAAGGTCACGGTTCAATTCCCCATCAGGGTACATGCCCTGGTTGCAGAATCGATCCCCTCTGTGGGGCGTGCAGGAGGCAGCCAATCAATGATTCTCTCTCGTCATTGATGTTTCTATCTTTCTTTCCCTCTCCATTCCTCTCTGAAATCAATACAAAGTTTATATATTATGGAAAGAGCAGCTCAAGTTAAACATTTTAACTACAGAAGATTCACAATCTGAGGTTCTTTATATCTCAATGGTAAAATCTTGCTCTTTAAAGGAATACTGACAAATAGTATCATGATGGTTCTTGGACAATCCTCAATTCTAATAAGATTATCTCAGTAACCTTAAGAAACATTAAGAAAAAGTTAGATGGAAAAAATTTTTTTTTTTAGGACATACAGACTTAAGACTTGGTGTGAGCGGTTTTGGGTTTTGCAATGAAATAAAAAACAAACAAAATTAAGTGTGTTTATATACTTACTGCATCTGAAGTTTTGCTTGGATTATTGCTTGGATTAGAAGAATGTGAATTTGAACTATGAAGACTACTGTGGTTGTGTGAATTTTCTTGTGGAGAGTAACTGGTCCCTTAAAAAAAGAAAAGTAAAGTATAAGTTTTACTTCATATTTAATTTAAACTGGCTTCTATCATGTCACATATATTAATATAATCATTGTATATCCCTAAACCATTTTACATAAGATCAGGAATACATACACATTCATGCTCTTTATTAATACATAAAGTATTTGTGAGCCTACTAAAAATGTGGGTTAATCAGTACAAACCAGTATACTACATGGCTAATAAGGAACAATCAATCTATACAATAAAAGCCCAGCAGCCCTTATGATGGAACAACCAGAATGACTGGTTGCTATGATATGCACTGACCACCAGGGGGCAGACGCTCAATGCAGGAGCTGCCCCATGGTGGTCAGTGTGCTCCCACAGCAGGAGCGCTGCTCAGCCAGAAGCCAGGCTCATGGCTGGAGAGTGCAGCAGCAGTGGCGGGAGCCTCTCCCGCCTCTACAGCAGTGCTAGGGAGCGAGCAGGCGGGTGGTTAGAAGCAAGGGGACCTGGATTGCAAGAGGGATGTCTGACTGCCAGGCTGAGGGGCCCTACGCCCCAACACAAATTTCGTGCATTGGGCATCTAGTGTTATTATAATTAGACTAGAGGTCCGGTGCACGAAATTGGTGCACGGGGCAGGGGTTCCTCAGTTGGGCCTGCACCCTCTCCAATCTGGGACCACTCAGGGGATGTCTGAATGCCGGTATAGGCCCTGGAGATCGGGCCTAAACTGGCAGTCGGATACCTCTCTCACAATCCGGGACCGCTGGCTCCTAACCACTCACCTGCCTGCCTGATTGCCCCTAGCTGGCCCCCTGACGGCCTGATAGCCCCTAACCACCTCTGCCTTGGCCTCTGCCACTGTGGCTTTGTGCGGAAGGACATCCAGTCTAATTAGCATATTACCCTTTTATTAGTATAGAAGAGCAAAACCTCATCCATATCATTTCTAACAACTTCTGGGTTTTTTAAAAATAAAAGTTTTATTAGGGAATGACAGAAACACAACATATATAGAGGAAAAGAGGTACAAAAATTCAACAATACAGACCTGAAAATCACAACTATCCAATATGTTTTGGTAATTATTTCTCAGTTTCTTAAATACCTTCACTAATTTCCCAACTAAAACAGTATCAAGTTTTTAAAAAGTTAAGTCTCTTGGAAGGTGCTAGCTTTTAAGATGATAAAAAATGTCAAGTTTTCTAGTAACAGGATCAACTCTACCTAAAAAATGTTTAAATGTAACTCATAAGTTTCATGAATAACCCTACACATCACAGAGATCATCAGGAATGACAGTTTTTCTTGTCTTAAGAAAAGCTAAGGTATAAAAATCCAGACTTGCAAAAACATTGATTAATGACACAAAAAGACTTAACCGTTAGTATTTCAATTCATTCCACATATTTATTTTTCAGCATCAAGTTAAAAATAATTCAACTGTTTGAACAAAAACTGGAAGAGGGAAGAACAATTTAAATGGTTCAGAAATTAGTTAGCAGTAGAAACCAGTTGTTACGAGTAGAAACGAGTAAGAACTCATTTAACTATTTCAGTCAACAGAAAAAACTAAGAAGATTTAAAAGAGTGAACTGGGACAGACAGAAGATGACTATAAGGTTTTAGATATTAAATAGAAATGGTGAGCAGATCTATGTAGAACTAGGAATTCTGAAGTGGAGTTGGAAGTCTCTTCCATTAGAAGTGAAAAGTAAGGGATTCAATAACTTTGCCTTGCATATAATAAGACTGGACACTCAGAATGAAGTAAGAGTATGACAAGACAAAAGGAAATAGCCAAAATTTAACCTCAGATAGGGGCCAGCTTAAAGCAGATTCAAAGACCCAATAAAGCCAGTGATAAGAGGGTTACCTAGGTACTGAGCACAATGTAGGTGGTTCAAAGAGGAAATTCCCCAACAAGCCTGTATCTTGAGATGCCTGATGTTTTCTTCATCTACTTGTTTTTAATTTTATCTTGCTGAACAGTATGTATTTATGTAAAACACGAAACTATTCACAAAGTAGACTATAAATTCTTCAATAAACATTGTGTGAATGAACAAAATCAAGAAGAAATCGGTCAAAAATAAGGTTAGTGAGCAGAAAAGTTAACATAGCAAGCTTAAGGCTGTTATCCTTAGAAAGGCTTGCTTGCACAGCTTGCCCTTGACTGGCATGTGGGAACCTAGATTTCAGGAGCATTCCCACAACAATAATTCTAAGAGCTACTCACTGTGCCAATGATTTATGCTGCATACCTGCTTTTCCCACTGAGAATCCAGACTTTTGTACACGCTAGGCAGAGGTGGCTACATAATAACTCAAATCCAATGAAAGCCTTGGGTACTAAATTTCTAATAAGCTTCCCTGGTACACAACATTTTGCAAGTGTTGTCACAATTCATGCCTGGGGGAATGAAACCTGTCCTGTATAACTCTACTGGGAGAAGATTCTTGGAAGGTTGTATCTGGTTCCCTCCAGATTTTGCCCCACATGCCCTTTACCTGTAATTATGCTCTGCATCCTCTCATGATAATAAATCATAGCAATGATAATGACTATATACTGGGTTCTGTGAGTCCACTTAGACAATCACTGAACCTGGGGGCAGTCAGGTTCAGTGATTGTCTAAGGACCCAACACACTCAGTTACAAAGAAAAGATGAATACTAGCAGTTTTAAAAAAAATTATGCAGAAATTTATACTTTTCAGATGTAACTCATAAAAATTATTAAAAATCAGGTTTATAGTTGAATACAAAAGAAACAGAACTAGTAATATGAACTACTAGAATATCGTACAAATACACTTATTATAGTTGAGGTTGTCATGAAAATTTCCATAAATATCTCATCAATAATGGGGGGGAGGAAAGGCCAATTTTATTGAGTGAAACGAAAACCAGAGTGATCCATTCAGAAGCCTGGGTTAGATGCCCTGACATTTATTTGCATATATTCTTGAGTAAAACATTCTATGAAATAGCTTAAATCTATGAAATAAAAGTACCACATTAACATGGCAGACGAATAGGCAGACCTGTCTTGCATCTCGTCCCAGGGCCAGACTGAGGGCCAGCTGAGGAGGAGACATATATCAAGGAAGGTCAGAAAACACCCGGAGACTGGTAGTGCCGGGGTCCAACCCCAGCAGGTCCAGGGGTCCCCAAAGGTGTGGACGGAGTCGGCGAAGAAGGAAGGGCACGGAGACAGTGTTCAGTTGATCAGCAGCCTAACCAGGATCTCCAGCCAAGTTCTGGTCTGGATCTCCAGAGAGGTTCTGCTTAGGATCTCCAGCCAGGTTCTGAGTCCATGTTCTCTTGCTAGGTTCTCCAGGCTCTCCAGCCAGGTTCTGTAGCCATGTTCCCTCGCTAGGTTCTCCAGCCAGGTTCTGTCCAGGTTCTCCAGCCAGGTTCAGTCACCAGGTTCTAGTCAGGTTCTCTTGCCAATTTCTATAGTCAGGTTCAGTCCAGGATCTTTTGCCATGTTCTCTCGCTAGGTTCTGTCTCTAGGTTCTGAGGCCAGTTTCTGTCCAGGATCTTTTGCCATGTTCTCTCCAGCGAAGTTCTTCTGTCTCTAGAGAACGTTCTGTGTAGGTTCTGTGCCTAGGTTCTGTCTCTCCTGGTTCTGTATTCTAAGTTCTGTGTCTTGCTGTCTTATTACATCTGTATTTATACCAGTTGATTCAATCCTATCAATCTCTATTCCAAAGGTTAGGGCGTTTCTTATCTCCATTCCAGGGAGTAAAGATTATGTAGCTTAAGCATGATTGTTCGTAGTTAAAGTGATTAATTACCCACCTGGCACTTAGTTAAGAGGTTTTATTCCCTCCCTAACTTCAGGGGAAAATCCCTACCTGGGGAAACAACCTTTCTCAGAGAGGAGACCTTGGTTAAAACACATAGTGCCAAGAAGGTGAGCAAACATATTAAGAACAGTATGCCATATATGCCAGGTCCTTTGAAACAGCAAGGATGGACCGGCTCCCGGCATGGTAGGTCAACACACCCTGATCCCCAGGCCCCAAAACAATCCAATTAAAAATGGGCGACGAACTTGAATAGACAGTTCTCCCAGGAGGACAGATGGCCAATAGAGATATGAAAAGATGCTCAATGTCACTAATCATCAGAGAAATGCAATTTAAATCCATATGAGATATCTCCTTACACCTGTCAGAATGGCTTTCACCAATAATCAACAAACAGTAAGTGTTGTGGAAGATGTGGAGAAGAGGGAACCCTCAAGCACTGTTGGTGGGAATGCAGATTGATATAGTCAATGTGGAAAGCAATTCCATTTCTGGGAATACATTAAAAAAAAACCTCATAACACTAATTTGAATGAATATATGCACTCCTATGTTTATAGCAGCGTTATTTACAATCACTAAGACTTGGAAGCAGCCCAAGTGCCCATGAATAGATGAGTGGATAAAGAAACTGTAGTACATTTACACAATGGAATGCTATGCAGCTGTAAAAAAGAAGGATCTCTTACTCTTTGAGACAGCATGGATGGAGCTAGAGAACATAATGCTAAGTGAAATATGCTAGTCAGAGAAATACAAGTACCATATGATTTCACATATTTGGAATCCAATGAACAAAATATACTAACAAAATAGAAACAGACTCATTGAAACAGAGAATAGACAGTCAACTCTCAGAGAGGAGGGGGGGTTGCACTAGATGATAAAAGTTGAAGGCATTAAGAAACAAAACAATAAACATCTCACAGACACTGACAACAGTGGCGATGACCAGAGGGAAAGGTGGAAGAGTGGAGGTAGAAGACAGTATGGGTAGAAGGTAAATAGGGATGGAAGGAGACTTGATGGGGTGGTGAACATACAAACCTATGTAATAAAGGAGAAACATGGTAATTAGCTGTACGTCCGCTACCCTTCCCATAGCTAATCATCTTATGTAATAAAAGAGAAACATGGTAATTAGCTGTACGACCGCTACCCTTCCCTTTGGCTAATCAGGGCGATATGCAAATTAA